GGGGGGTGGTAAATGGTTTAACCCCAAAGGCCAACAAAAAAAAAAGGGTGCCCCCCCCCCCCCCCCCCCCCCTCACCCCGTCCGACGCGCTATGGGGCCTTTGATTTTTTCCCCTCCCTCGCGCCCCGTCCGACGCGCCGCGGGGCTAATGTTTACCTCCCCCCCACGCTCCTCCCGACGCGCCATGGGGCTGCATTGATTGTTGCCCTCCCGCGCCCCTCCGGTCGCGGCTGCGAGCACACGGCCCTCCCGCCGTGTTCTTTGGTTGTTGCCCTTCCGCGCCCCTCCCGTCGCGGCTGTGGGCACACGGCCATCTCGCAGTGCTCTCTGACCATTGCCCCCCCCACGCCCCTTCCGTCGCGGCTGTGGGCCTGAATTATTCTTCAAGTATGATGCCCTTCCCCACGCTCCTTGCTGCGCGGCACGGGGCCGTTTTTGCTTGTTGCCCACCCGCACCCCTCCCGTCGCGGCTATGGGCACACGACCATCTCGCCGTATTCTCTGAATATTGCCCCCCCACGCCCCTTCCGTCGCGGCTATGGACACACGGCCGTTCGGCCGGTTTTCTGTGTCTCCACCCTCCCACGCTGCTGCGATGGTGCCATCTTCACCATCTCCTGCTGCTCCTGCTGCTGCTGTGTGTAAATGCAGCGCTGCGCGGTGGCCCGCGCTAGTGTCTTTTCCCCGCCTCTTCTTGCAAGGCCTCACGTGCCACATGCAGCTCCTCGTCATCGCTTGCCACCATGATCGCCAGGACTGCCTACGGGGTTCTGCACGATACTGACCGATGCCCCCGCTTGTTGCACCGACATTATCTACTGCCTCACCCCACCGTGTCCTTCTTCCCATGGCCCCACGATTAGCGTCCCCTGGTGATGTTGATGGCGCATCGACGGCGTCGTGGGGATGCATGCTGCCCCAGCTCTCTAGATGCAAGAATTTTCCCGCGGTCAACAGGCACACTTGGTGTGCCGTCTGTGACACCCCCTCCAGCGCCGCACACCTCTTCTCGACGTGATGAGCACGTTGCTCTGATTCTTCGGCCAGTGCCTCCAGCGGCGGCTGCACCTCCACCAGCGCTGCCTCTCTTGTAGAGATATTCGGTGTTCTGGGATCTACCAAACCCACCGTTAGCAGGGACCTGAAACGCCCACACCGGTTCGCCTTCCGAAACCGGCCTAATGCTGATGATCTCTTCTGCAGCCGTGTAGTCTATGCAAGCACCCACCGCAGCAGGCTGCTCTTGGGATGATGACCCCCCTGACGTCCCCGCTGCCCAGTCCTATGCCCGGGTCCACTCCAGCGGGGATCGTTGGCACTACCAGGCTGGCTCCCGGTCTGGTGCTTCTTCCCCCGTGCTGTGCGGGCGGCGTGATTCCGTCGTTGTGCGGCCCCTCATACAGTAAACCGCGGGCAGACGTAGCGCCCGTAACGACAGCGCCCACCGTGGCGCCATCGGACTCCCCCTCCTTCTCTCCCTGTCCTATGGCGGCTCGCAGCAGGTCCGTCAGCTCCTGCGCTTGGCCTGAGAAGCTAGCGGGTTCGTCCTCCAAGTCGTCCACCCTGCCCTGCTTACTTGTGGTGACGTCGTCAGCCTCTCGTGCAACATCGTCGCCACTCATCTCCAGCACGGGTTCCCTCGAGGGATACACTCTAGACAGTTCGTATACCCTTGTATAGTGGTGTTGATGATGCTTGTATCACTTGTATCAAGGACAGCAGACTCGCGCTCTCTTCTTTTTTGACACCATTCCCGGGCCTTGGCTACTTGCAAGAGCATGTAGCCCCTCTGTTTCTCTTGGATACTTGCGCAGACGAGCTGATCCCGCAAAATGCTGCCGAAAGGTTCGCCCTTGACCACGCTTCTGTTTTACCCGACAACTTGTGTACCGCATTTTAGGTTGCAAGCACAGGAAAAGGTGGGAACGGTGTCCCGTTCTCGAGTCTACCTTTCCCGTCTGATTTTTCGCGCCAGGTGGTGGCGACTGAACAGCTTCGATGATGCAGATGCCGGCCGAAAAGTTGATACAGAGCATGTGTGACAGGTCTGAACCGTGGGGCTAATGTTGGTTGTCGCATGAGAATGGGTTGTGTCCGAGAGCACTTCCTCTCTGTTTTTCGCCGGATTATTGTTGCGCGAACACCCCCACGGACCACCTCAAACGTTCTACTGATTTACTCTGTATGTCCTTTTTCGCGTGTTCGAGTCGATTCTTGTTTGTTCTGTTTCTCCTCGATTCCCTTGTTCCTGTGGACGTCTGTGGACTTTCACTTCCATGCCTTCTCTACGTTAGGTCCGTGTGTAGAAGCAAGAACTTCGACGACTTCGATAGTCAAGCCTTGTTGCGTTGTTGCTGCCGGCAGGATGTGGGCCGTGCATTAGCAACGACGCTAGCTGTATACTTCGGAGTACTTTGAATCCTGAGGGACCACGCCTGTTGCTTGGACGCACGCCAATCCTGTGTTTTTGTCTGGGGGCTTCCCCGCATGTTGTTTGCCATTTGTTCTGGGTCGCTTGGGTCGCACGTTAATCAACAGTTGAGCAGACTTTCATTTGTTTGACTTACCGACGCGGGCTTCGTTTTTCGTGAGGGGCGTTGTGTGTCCTCTTGTCGTAGCTATTTTCTGTTGTTTCTGACGCTGGGTCTGTCGCAAGACACGCGAACAGCATGCATGACTCTCTGTGGGGTGAGGGGAAGGTGTCGGATGCAAGGTAGGTACGTACGCCGCGGTGTTGGTGGGGATACCTGGAGCACTTGGGATGGTTTTAGTGTAGCATTGTTTTGTGGCGGAAGGGGGGGGGGGCTTGGAGCGCTGCAGTTTTATGCGCGTCAAGCGTAGCCTAACTACAATGTGTTAGTGCACTTGATTGAAATAGACCCTGCTAGGGTTCGCCGTCATTGATTCCGCGTCTTTCATGATATTTAGTGATGTCGCTGCTTCGGACACGATGTCGCTCATTGCGAAGAACACAATAGAGCACAATCACAGTTGACCCCCTCGCCTCCCCGCCGCGGATGCGCCACAAATCATACGACTTCCCCCCTCAATCGTGCGCGGCGTTCACGGCGGTAGGTCCACATTCTCCACCTTCCCACGCTATGGCGGGCCGCCTGGCAAAGACCGAAGCGCGTCGTGCGGACGTCACTAACCCTAACCGCACGACAACGACACATGCTGCGTAGGCAATTGCGTTCAACATTATCACCCAGCTCTGTTTCTGCTCTGTTCTGTACTTGCCAAGCAAGCGAGCCGACTGTGCAATGCGTCACCACGTGGGTATCTGTAGCAGAATGCGGGCCTTAAATGAAACTTCAAGGTGTTTCTAAATGAAACTTCAAGGTGTTTCCCCCAATTTCTGCTGCAGATACAAAAACCGACTCTAACTTGTTCACGTGGTGTGATGTAATGTGACAGAAATCCTGGCACAGAAACTGAGACTGATTTCTTCGTAGCTGACGAAATTCCAGGACGTTCACCCTTGGCGGTGACCTCGCGGAACCAAACTGAAACAAGGTAAGAAGTCCTACAGTATGGCTCGACTCGTCGAGTTGACGGAATACCTGCAGCTTCATTCAGTGCAACGCAACGATACAGTCGAAGTCACTTTGAAACGCTACACCCAAACCAAGACATGTTACAGTGCACACGAGTTAATGATGAAAATTCTCCTCTTCGCCCCAGCTGAATTCTTCGAGCTGAACAATATTGCGACGACGAGGTGCGCCGCCCTGCCTCCGCACACACCAGCCCTTGACAGCGCACCGAGGATTTCACCTTGCATCGAAGGCAGCACCAGCAAAACAGTAAAGAAACCACACGTCCTCGCACGCGCCATGGCGTGGAGGCCAGACGCACGAAATAATTGCCCATGACCTTTAAAACCGAGCAAGGTACAATGCCATGCCAGCCGCGGCTGATTGCGCTAGGACAGAGGAAGCCTGCTCCGCAAGTCTCGGCGAGGTCGGTGGCCAGGCGAGCGGCTAAGTCTACATGTTGGATCAGCATTCGGCCTAATGCGGCGGTATTCCGCCGCCCGGTCAATCAAACCATATATTCTCCTTGTCGATAGCTCCCCAGCCTGCTTACCAAAAACGAAGTATAACATAAAATTTAGGCTTACGACAGCACCGACACCAACAACGAACCCAAACACCACTTAGAGGGGTAGTGAACGTTGTATTTTAGAGAAATTCGAAGCCATCTATATGTAGTCTATTTCCGATTCTCGTGCCAACTCTTTAACCATGTTCCTTTTCCTGGCTGCCCTACAGATGGTGATTCTGATGGAGTGATTATTAGTCAGTCGCGCCGATACATTACGTAGCTGTAAGAATCTCAACTTCTCCTTGTGACAAGTGCCAAGTGTAATGGTAGAGACACGCGTAGCAATCCCTGAAGACCCTTCCTTGGTGAAGACTCACTTGTTGATTCATCTCTCTCTCTCTTTGGATAGCAGTGCATGCTGATTCCTTGCTCTTTGTGGTAGACTGAGCATGTGGGGGCAGACCAGCTCCCTCTAACAGGGTTTACCAAGGTCCTGTCCCCGGCTTTATCCTTCAATCGGGAGTTACATCTCCCGCACTTTCCTCTGGGTATTAGCCCGCACTACCGTTGGTTCTTTCCTACACATTCAAATCCCATAACAGCAGTATACTGTGGCGGGCCGTTGATTTTCGGTGTTCTTGCGAAATTCATGTCATGCAAGAAAGAGCGAACAAGGCCTGCTGATTCAATGGTGCAGACAGTTCCATCCCCGGGTGCCAATAAAACGCTGCCTTTCCACTGAGCCGTCCCTTGTCTGAAAGCCCTATCCAATTGTCCCCTCGAAATCGTGGGGACATTTGAAATGGCTTTTAGACAACAATTAGCGGGAGCGTGGTAAACGGGGCACGAAAAGGAGGTTTCGGGAAAGCGAAACCTTCTAACCCAAGCCCTAGATTGCCCGGTGCCTCCTCTTATCGGTGAGCTATGTATTATAGGTACTTCTTCCGCGCTTGCACCAAGAAGAGGCGCTTTCCATCCAAGCGTAGAGACACGCGGCGCAACTTCGCATAGTCTAATCGTCCCGCCATTCGACCTGTCATTACCCTCATACTCCTCCACTTTACAAAACATCCAGAATAGACTTCAGAGATGTAGAGCTGTCCCCGTGTACCCCGGCAACCCCCTTGTCGAGTAGTTCAAAGGAGGGGGCAACCATGTCATTCGTCGCGAGGTGAAGCAGGTGAAGAAGATGGGTCCCCAAAAGCCGATCTACAGTTAGTAGCCCTACAGACATCCCGCTCAGAGGAATATCTGTTCCGTTTGGAGAGCAGCGCCAAGAGTTTCTGGACCAAGCAAGTCGGTAACCCACCTGGTCTATCTCGCCCTTCAGGTCATGAAGGACTGTCATTGTTGGTTGTCATTGTTGGTTTACGACGGCCAGGGGGTGGCACCTTCAGCGAAAAGAAGGTCAAACGAGACCGCGGCGGTAGTTCATCATGCCACGAACGAAAACTTGGAGGGTCGAGCAAGCACGGCTAGCAATGTCAGCGGAAGCAGGTGTGAAACAAGCAGAAGAAGATGAAAAGAATACAGCGGACAAGGCCAGGGATGGCGAGACTCTCCCACACGTTGCTGTGGTAAGTTTGAGTACGCGGATTTGCCGTAGGCGTTTCGACCACATAGTGAAGCCGTAGACAGAGATGGTGTTTGGGAGGAAGAAATCTGGAATGGGGACCTCGAAGACTAGAACCACCCGCTACGCTCGCCGATCGCCAGAGGCACTCCCGATTCCCCTCTCTTCCTTCCTATCCGACTTTCCTACTTCATTTATTGATGTTTTCAGGACAACGTTTTGTTGTCGATGAAGCTGCAGGTAACAGACGTGGCTTCGCGAGAACAGGGACATGCCAAAATCAGACTGCTGGTCTCTAACGTTTCTGGTGAGATGGGTGTGTCTCGTTCATTGTTGGGGCAGTGATATCTGCAGCAAACCTGAAGAGCTTCCACATCACACGATATAGTAATCAGTAGAAATCGGTTACTCGGGATGAACCAAGGATGATCAGCGTTCCCTGATGCTTCACAAACACACACCCCTCGTGAATCTTTGCCACGCACCCTCTCTCGCCGTCATCACTTTTTGAAGCGCACACAGAGTCACCCCAATCTCAAGCACCCACGCCATCTCCCGTTGATATTATACCGTCGGTGACGTCCGAACGTATGCTTGAGTTCGCGCGTATGTATGGCAGCATCGATTTTCCGCGTTGAATGAAGCACTCTGGCGAGTTTTGTGAAGGTCTTGATTGAGTGAAAATGTCAGTCATATTGATGGGTGGCATTCTGAGGAGGAGTCAAAGCCATCTGTTTCCACCTCTTGTGCTCTCGAAAGCCACAATCTATCAGTTTCCTCTTGTGTCCCCTCTTTGACCAACGCCCTATCATTTTCCCCAACTGCCTTGGACAGATGGTGGTTATTCGGATGATAACTTCGAGAGGGACATGTTCCTCCTCGGCGGGGTGCTAGTCGTCTTTGGCGGGCGGGCCTTGGTGTTGATCACCAAGTATTGTCTGCAAGAAATTACGCCATCGGCGAGATGATGTCCATGAAAACTGTGTACCATATGCTTCAGGGTGATGGCTACATGTGGAGATCGACGTCCATGGGCTCGTCCATGACGGAGGAATAGAGGACGATGAGCGCTGGAGGGCGGCCCGTAGCATTCAAGAGCAGACCCTCAAGCGCATCACTCATCTCTTGTCGGACCATGTGCTCTCGTTGGGGGTAGAGTACAGTTTCAGTCCGTTCGTAGGGGCGTAGAGCCGGACTCGCAGGAACCCGTATCATCGCCTTGGAAAAGGTTTCAGATCTACATATACGCCGGCGTAACAACCTCAGGTGGCGGTGAGCCTTTGACAATGAATACTGAATGCGAGCGCCAGGTGTTAGGTGCCTGTCTCCCAGAATTCACTAATATTGTTTTGTGCACGGTCTGAGAACATAATCTTACCAAGCACCCCCTCCTCCCCTTCCTCTCCTATCCTGTTCTTGCTACCACTTCGTATTGATTGTGCCCATTGTGAATTGCCCGATGAACCGGCAGCAAGATGCGGCAACGCGAGATGGCTTGCCAGCATCAGATCTCTGGCGTCGGAGGGGTATTTGTTTGTCGTTCGTTGCTCGAGCACCGTGCGTGCGTGGGGATGAAAACCTGAACCTCTCCACAGCAGTATTCAGCATTGCATGCGCTCTGAATGAGAACCACCCAGTCCCCAATCGTCGCACGGTCGAGGTCTTGGTCTCATCACTTTTAGAAGCGCCCACAGCGTCACCCGAGGTCCAACCGCCTACCCTATCTCCCGGGGATAAGACCGCGTTGGTGTTGTTCGAAGGGGTCCTTCTTGGGCGTGTGAATATGACGTCATTGGTGTTTTCCAATGCGGCTGAGTGAATTATAGCCATCACATGAGAAGTACTCTACGAGTGAGTTCGAAGCACCGTTTGTTTCAATATCTGTTTTCCTCTCTTTGACCACAGGTACTCCCCTGGCTCCCCTGGACCGGTCGCAATATGGTTATTTACTATCGACATCTTAGTCTGGTGAGTGTGACGCAAAATCGCGTTTGGTGGTGCGACCTTGGTACGTATTGATCACAAGGCATTTTCTAGAAACTTTCGCCGCGGCGGAGCAGTGGTCAGGGTCAACATTTGGTTCTGTTGTATGTACAGTAGATGGAGGATGAAAAGGACAACGTCAATCAGCGCTGGGGTGAGAGTTTCCGCATCGCTCATCAGAACACATTCAATGAAGCTGTGTCACCCTTGGGCACCTGTAGTCAGCATACTCGCGTTGGCTATGCGCAAATCCGACCCGATCGCGAGGAGCCCTTGGCAGCAAGAAATTTGAACAAGGTACTCCGAAACCTTGCCGTGTCTCCACGATTGAGCCCAAGCGTTTTCTTAGTGGTGCCGGGTATTAGTCCAATTTCATAGTTATTATCCATATTTCTATTCCAAACTGGGGGATGTACACACTGATTTGTGTGTAGAGGATACGGTAGTTATAGTTCGGAGACATCACCGAAATATTGGGACAGTATGGAGATCGGCTCACTCAAGTTAGTCTGCACAAGGGTATTACTATGCGGCAAGCAAAGTCAGCAGCCACCACTTATCAATACGTAGGCGTGGCACGGCTGAAGGTTCGAAAGTAGGCAACGACACAGCTTTCGGACAGGAGTTCCTCAGCGATAAAACCTGGACTGACGATCATCAAGCCTCCAGGACTAAAGACGACAGAAGTTTTGTTTCGGGACAGCTCAAGCTTACACGCCACTTTTGAAGAAGCCTAATCGTGCGTGCTGCGTGCGGAAGACGTCGCAGTGGATCTCTCTCCGTCGTGTCTCTGGCAGAGTGCTGCAGCGACAATTCTGTAGGTGAGGCAAAAAGGCATGCCGCCCGACGAAGAGGTACGTATTCACGTCACGTCTAGGACATAAAAACCGAAATTATCAGCTGTGAGCCTGTTGGAAACCCTGAGTCCATGGATGTCCGTCTATATCACCGTGGGGACGTCCGTCTATATCACCGTGGTATAGACGGACATTAACGAGAGCAAGTTTATTATTTAACACAACGAGAACAAGAACGGCCGACATTTTTCCGATTCATGAAGCCCCCGCTACTGCACGTGGATGACGGCAACGCGCGACGCCGAGCAAAGAACACTCGAGGCCCATCTCCATCAACCAACGCCCGTCGAACTTGAGGCACAAACACGTCTCACTACATCAACACCCAGTAGCGTCTCCCAGGACGGCATACCTATACCCTAACCTTACCTCTAAAATTGCATACTTTTTGTGTCACGCCACAGGACGTGCTGAGAAAGGCATCGCGAATCACAAACACAGCACACTGATGAACTGAAAATAATGCCCCACACGGAACGACAACACGCTTCATGAGCGTCGTCCTCCTGACGAAGAAAACATGCAACACCGCAAAAAAAAAGTTGTACGAGAAACAAATTGCTTACGACAGCACCGACACCACCAACGAACCCAAACAGAGCAGAGACACAATAATCGATACTTGCCACTCACTACGGCCTAGAACGTCCTTACCATGACAATGTTGTATGTATCACAACGTTGTCACGACGAACAAGGTCGTGAAGCGACCAACCGGCGGGACACAAAAAAAAAAAGTGTTTCTTCTGGGTGGCAAACAATCAAGAAGATGAAATCCCAAGTGATGTCAAATATCCCTCACTCACCCGCCGACCTCTAGGGTTATGCCCGCAAGCTACGGGAGACACGTACCGCCATAGCGTGGTGCGGCCACCTAGGAAACCAACTCCCTTCGTAGGGCTCTTCCAAGCCATAGAGGTAGGGCAACTTCTGCTGCCTCGAGGCCCGCTGTCTTGGAGGCCAGAAATATGCCATCGGTTGCCCAGGTACAACACACCCCCGGGACCGATTTCCAAAGCCCGACTTCTGCACGAGGAGGATGATGCCGGAACGAACTGATCCGTTTTCGTAAAGCCTCTTGACGAGACGGTTCCAACGCCGCCACCATCTTCAGCACCGTCGCCGCTTTTTCTCCTCGAGCTTTGCAAATCGCTCCAGGGGTGTGATATCTTACGTCATGCAACCTAAGGTAGGCGTCAAGACACCCAACATTGGTCGGTTCGGCCGACAACAACAACAACAACAACAACAACAACAGGTAGTCATCATACTTGGAACTGCCCCGGCCCGAGAAGGGGCGACGCCTCCCCCGCCTGGAACCGCTTGCTACCCCCCCACCCCCCTCCGACGTCCCTCCTCTTCTCCCTTGTCCTCCACGGCCGCCGGGACCCCAGCTCAAGCCAGAACTCCTTGCCCAGCCAAGACCTTCGACGTTGCCGATCGTACACCCTGGGGTTGTTCCAACTGGTGCCGCCGTGTCGTGGAGGGGGTGGCGTCCGCAGACCCAGCCGCCTCCTGCAGGACCTCACCTGAAAATCGCGGCACAGCAGGAGGGAGGATGGGGCGGGCATAAAGTGCAAAGTTAAGGGAAACCATTGTTTTTCGTTCTTGGTGCGTCAAGCCAAAGTTATAACGGGCGTATGGGAGAAGGGAGGAGAGGGAACGTGTGTGCGCTGCAATCTGCTGCTGCTCACGCGTGCGGGACAAGGTCTGCCACAATTATTGAAAGGAGGTGTTATTCTATCACTACTTGACTGCTTGTATCTCGACTACCGCGATGTGTGATACCGTACGGTAGAGTGCTCCGAATACTCATGTCATTGTGCCGTGGAGGCGCTGCGTGTAGCCTAGCTCTGTTGCCACTACGACTGTTGTAGTGTCAAACAACACCGTTTTTCATCCCTCTGTACTTTCTAATCTCACAGGCATTGTGTCTACATTTAGCGGCACCCCCACGAAGCACACCCAATAAAAGCTGCAGGTAGACACAGGTGGCGACATCTTCTACTATATCAGTCGCAAGAGCACGCACACATTTAGCGACGCCCCCACGAAGCACACCCAATAAAAGCTGCAGGTAGACACAGGTGGCGACATCTTCTACCATATCAGTGGCAAGAGCAGCACGTGCCACGTCACAGAACGCGCTATTTCTTCGACTTGGACATGATACCATTCAATGTATTCCACCCTCGACACGCTCGCTTCCCATTGCCCGGTCTAATGTGGGACTTCTAGCCTAGGCTACTCAATAACACCAGACGAGGACTGCAACCAACGTTCCCCCGCACACGACAATCGGGCCTAACGTGCGATAAAAAAGGAAGGTAGGGGACACTGGGTGCTCCGCGCCACTTCCATGACATGCAACAATCGCCGCCGGTACCACCGCCAACCATCGTGGTCCAAGTTCGACTTGGCTTACCACTGACTCTCTCGGGGCTACCTCTCCAGGGCGGGTGTACAGCTTCAGGCCGAGGCTGCTCAAGACGACGAGGCTGGACGAAGAAGCCATGAACAGGGCCGCGAGGGCAGGGGTCACGCCCAGGCCTAACCACGGCTTCAGGAGACCCGCGGCCAGCGGTAGAGCCACCACGTTGTAGCTGCATGCACGCACGCCAGAGCAAGCCGAGATTGGGGGAATAAAAAAATAGTGTAGTCGGATGCATTGTGTGCGTGGTGTTTCGGCGGCGCCACGAAACTCTGTTCAAACTGAAAGACGACGCTTACGCATCTGGTTTCGATAGCCACCCGCATACAATATATCCTTGCGATTCGATAGACAGACAGCAGCGACCTACCTGAGGGCCCAGACGAAGTTCATCCGGATGCGGCGGAATACCGCTCGGCTCAGGTGAAGTGACACCACCACGTCCCTCAAGTCGGACCGCACCAGCACCATATCCGCGGCCTCCACAGCCACCTGACGAGACAAACAAAATGTTGGGAGAACAGAAATGTCTTGAAACTATACACTTCTACTCGTACCGGCAGTTTGATTCGAAACCCGGTGACACGTGAATGCTGTCCCTCTCCCTAAGCGAGAAAAGCAAAGCATGTCACATGGCGTGTCACATAGCCGGGCTGGTTGTTGGCACGGCTGCGGGAGAGGAGTATCCACTCTTCGTGGCCCCCACATCAGGGCTACCATATGTTTTGGGTGGATAGCCGGTTCAATGCCGAGGGGACCAAAGGAAAGGGACCAACTGAGGGGGCCGACGGACAGGAAAGGCTGTGGGTGTGGAAAAACAACAAAGATTACGAACATGTTACGGTCACCGCTCTCCATCAAGGCCGCCGCACCTCCAGGTGCTTCATCTCTATAGAGTCGGAAACAAAAGCAGCACCTACACGAAAGCAAGGCCAACCTCTCTCCATCTACAATTTCCGCCGTGAATGCTGCGTGGGAGAGCTCACCTGGGTCCCTGCTCCGACGGCGATGCCAACATCAGCCATGGCCAGGGCGGGAGAGTCGTTGACCCCGTCCCCGACCATAGCAACCGCCTGTCCCATTCTCTGCAGCTCCTGAACTTTTCTTGACTTGTCTGCAGGAAGAACGCCGGCCATGACCTTCCCCCTCGGGATGCCGACAATCGCTGCCACCGCCTCTGCGGTAGCACGGTTGTCTCCGGTCACAACCCACACGCTGATCCCCATCCTGCCGTATTCGGGGATCACATCAAATATTGAGGGTGGGAGGGGAGTCTCGTGGCTAGTCCATATGCAAGTCGGCTCTATTTTTCAAGGGGAACAAAAATGGCTGCGGGGCCATAGGCAATCATACCTCGACCAGCGCGTCGCCTGTAAACAAAAACAAATCGTGTCAAAATCGCTACCGTTTTCTGGGGATTCCTAAGTTCTTACTTTTCGCCAGCAGACTTTGTGCCGGTTCGGACTAGACGAACTGCTTGCAGGGAAAACGCCCGAAAAGGACAGCCGGTTTCTTTTTGCGGCGGCGGTGTGCTGCCTGCATCTACCTGTGCAGCGTCCCCACGGCCTCCCTGGCCTCCGGCCTAACGCTGTCCGCGACAGCCAGGACTCCTTTAGTCTCCCCGCCGCCCGCGACAAACACCACGGTCTTCCCTTGCCACTCCAGAGACGCGGCGTGCCCCTCTATCTCCGGGGGGATGCGTACGTGGTGGCGAGACAGCCAGGTCCTAGACCCGACGAGCACGAGGTCGCCCTTGGACATCTTACGGTGACGCTCGCCGGTTGTGCCGGAAGCAGACCCTGAGATGTCGGTAGAGGGGGGGGAGGGGACAGCATTAGAAGGCGTGCGCAAAACAGAGAGGTAAATAGGGGCATTGGGGGTCTGGCCAGAGAGACAGAGAGACAGAGAAAACTGCATCTGTCACAAGACCACCACCACCAACAACAACAACGACAATAACGGAAAAAATAATCATACCATCAGTCAAGCAAGGCAACGAGGCCCGGTCCTGGCTCACCCCCCCTTGATAAATGAAGCAAGACAAACGAGGCCTGGTCCTGACTTACCGCCACGGTCTTTGACGATCGTGCACGAAACCCCCATCCCCGGGGTAGACTGGAACCCCTCGACGGCAGGCTCTAGCTTGGAAACCCCTCTTGCTCGAGACGCCTCGACGATCGCCGTGCCCACCGGGTGCTCGCTAGAAGCTTCGGCAGAGGCCGCCAGGGCTAGGACAGAGTCCTTCGTGTTTGCTGCACCCTGAAAGAACGAAAAAGAAGCGTCGACAGGAAATAAGTCGAGGTCTGCAAAGCGAGAGTTCTGGATGGAATGCGACAGCTGGGTTCCGCGGCAGGGTATTTGATTAAGCAGTCAAATACCCTGCCAAAGAAGGGTGTAGGGCACAGTTGAAAGTGTACGGTTGCTCCAGGGTCATGGTGTGCCAATACTTCGGAACACCTGTATGACTGTGGTAATATCTCGAATGGGTAGTATTTCTGTGTCATCACGTATTTTTCCTGCTATAAGTACATATGGACGTCTCACCTATGCTCGCTTGAAAGTGGCCGTCATCCTTGCTATTCTGAAAAAAAAAAAAAATCTTCGAGCTTCAGCGGGGCTCCGAGGCACAAACCACCAACGGTCACCGTAAGCCGATCGGGCTTCCACGCGGGCCACACTACCAAAACCTTGGTCGAAACAGGGTAGACACAGCAGTAAGCCTTGAAGACAACGCCGTACCTGCGACAACACGTCCGTGAGGGTGGGTTTGTTCATCGTAAGCGTGCCGGTCTTGTCCAGCAGCACCGTGTCCACCTTGTGCGCGGCCTCGAAGGCCGCCCCCCCTTTGATCAGCACCCCGTTCTTAGCGCCCACCCCCGTGCCCACCATGACCGCGGTGGGGGTCGCAAGGCCCAGGGCGCAGGGGCAAGCCACCACAGTGACGGCGACAGCGGTGAGCAGCGCGAACAGGAAAGGGTCCGTGGCCGTGCTCCCTACGGGAGGATCGGCGAGCTTTCCGAGCCAGGTGGGTCGGGGGTCTTGAGAGAGCAGCGCGTACCTGATGCCGTGTGGCATGCGGAGACAGGGGAACACAGAGACGGTGGCGGAATGGGTTGGGTTTTAGAGTATACTTCGGTCGGGGCGGGGGGCGGCGCGGCGTGCTGCTTGTGCGGCAGAACCTGTTGGTTCAAGTACACGTGAGGGTGTGTACGTTTGGTTGTTTCGCATGCCGTGTCGATTGCTCGTAGGATGCTGGAGTTGGTCGACACCGATACCCTCTGAAACAATTCCCAGCGCGTGCTGATTCCATCTCGAAGTGAGTGTGCTAGCCCAAGGGCGTATGCGTGCGACCTGAAACGTCTGCGATTCTCTTGCTTTTAGCCATTTGGCGCGCGCCATGTGGTGGTACCTACTCCACACACAAATAACGACCGTCCCCACGACCACAAGCACAACACACGCCCTCCACCAGTACGGTGCGTGGGCAAACACCTCACGCCCACATCCATCGCCACAACATGTCCAAGCCCGACCCAGCCTAGTGTAGCTTAACATCTCTTGTCGGTCGATGCGGGTCGTCCGTAATCTTACCAGGAGACAAAGGAGACCATGGCCATCGAGAGCACCACTGGGGCGAAGATCGAAGACATGCGGTCCGCGAAGGCCTGGATGGGCGCCTTGGACGACTGCGCTTCCTGGACCAACCTCACCACCTGGTTGAGAGCGGTGTCCTTGCCGACGCCCTGTGCCAGCATCGTGAAGGAACCCATCTGGTTGACGGTGGACCCGAAGACTAGGTCTCCCGCAGCCTTCGTCACTGGCATGCTCTCGCCGGTGATCTAACATACAGTACAGTAGGCGGTCGTTGTAAAGATGCGGACGGCAAGCATCGGTCGTTAGAAAGGCTTGGACGTTTGGGGGACGAGGTGACGACGTGAAACGGGCAACGCGGATACCGCTCATGTGCCATGCTATCGCTGGGGCTATATCTAGAATAGAATGTCCAGAGAACAACCTAGCATCCTTCCCGCTACCCTCTCTCTTGTCTGTCTGTCTCTGTCTCTGTCTCCCTCTCTCTCTTCGTGTCTTTCATTATCTCTTTAAATTTCTGTGTGGGTATCTTCCCCGTTGAGCCATAAATATATATATATATATTCTCGTCGTCTTCTGATCTCATCTCTTACCATGCTCTCGTCCACGGTGCTGTTTCCGGAGACCACCACACCATCCGCGGGCAGCAGCGACCCGGGCTTGACCAGAAGGCTGTCCCCGACCTGAACTCGAAAGAGAGCACACCACCATTTCAACCAACGCTTGGTAAGTGTTTGGATACCAACGAAATGTAGAACCTCAGCCATCAACCTTTGGCACCACCAGCACCATCACAGCGGTGGTGGCAGACAGCTCTGCTCTTCTCGTGGTGAACAGCCCAAGGTGGATCACGAAATACCCTCGTTTGTACGTGGACACAAAGGGGCAATATGATAGCTTGTCTGCATGCTGAGACGACGCCGAGGATGCAGGTTGGTTGAATGGCTAGGAATAGCAAACCCATCTGAACATTCATTCGATGCATAGTGCAGCGTTTACCTTCTACTACGACCTTCTTCAAACTTCACAACATTGGCGCTCTCGTGCGAGCAACAAAAACGCAGGAGCAAGAGAGCAAGAGCGAGACAGAGACGACACCGAGAGCGTACTTTTCATTTCGCATAGCGATACAGACGCAAGCACAAGAAAGCCGTTTTGCGTCCACAAAACGCGCCAAAAAAGACATGCTTCACGCGAGATCGATCGACATCCTTCACCTGGACGAGGCCAGCGTCGATTTCCTTGTACTCCATCTCCATCTTGTTTCCTCTCCGCTTCTTCTTGAAGACCGCACCGCCGTGCCCATTGACGCTTCCCGCCACCTCGGTGCCCACGGAAACGCCTGGCGGAGGCAATAGCAGGGCCGTCCTAGGCTGGAGCTTCACGAGAGCCGTGAGGCTCGATGAGGTCTGCCCCTTGGCGATGGCCTCCATGAGCTTGCCGAGGCTCACGAGGGTGAGCAGCATCGCGGCGGTCTCGAAGGTGCACTTGGAAGGGAACTCGGGGTCGAACGAGCACTTCACCAGCAGCACGCACACGCTGAACAGGTACGCGCTTGACGTGCCCATCACGACCAGGGCGTCCATGCCGAGGCTGCCGTGCTTGACGCCCATCCAAGCGGCGCGGTAGAAGCGTCTCCCGACCACGAACTGCACTGGCGTTGCCAGGACGAACATCACGAAGTCGCACAGCGAGATGCCCCCCAACACCGGTGGCCCCTCCCAGAGCATCAAAACCTGCCTCGCCGCCGGTGCGTTAGCGAACGGACATCGACAATATCATCATCATCATCATCATCATCATCATCATCAGGGGAACTGCTCTAGCGCGATGCAAAGGCACTGCAACAGTCCCTTCCCGGATTGCAAGAGAGGGCGTGGGCGTCATGTTTCCCGTCAGGATCGGTAGTGTCGCATGCCAATATGTCGTCTACCTTGTATAACAGCGGCAATAGACCGATGCCATGACAGCTTTGACCTTGTATCACTTTGACCTTGTGATACAGTAGAGGCTTCTTGCTCCATGCTCTTACGGACTGGTTCGACGCCAAGGCACCATGTAGCAACAAAAACAAAAACACAAACAAATAATTCGTTTCTAGGGGTACCCAAAGGCATACCTGAAGCCAGTGCGCCAACAACAGAGGCACCGTAAAGAAGACTGAGAGCAAGAACAGACGCCGCCACATGGCCACGTCCTTCCGCGTCATCTCCTGCAACCGCTTCACGCCCGAGAGGGCGTCGCCGCCTAGGTCGACAGCCTTCAAAAAAAGCAGGCAAGCGCAAGAGACACATCGGAGCAGAAGAACAGACAGGTCACCAACACACGCCCGAGTCAGGTTGACCACCAAGCCTCGATCCTAAACGAAGTCGTACCCATGAGCGGTATTGACCCTTTTGGGTCTACAGGCGTCCTGACAGATCATGGATTGATCATTTGTAAGTGCTGGCGTTGTGGCATGCCATGGAGTTGCCGCCCTGTATCCCTCCACGCCAGGTGTTGGCAAGTCAATAGGCAGGTGCGTCTATATTATTCGCATCGACCGGGCTACCCGGTGACCAATAAAAAGACGTTAGTCCCTGGAACAGCCAAAATTCGAAAATGCACACTGCTCTAAATGCGAATGCCACCATGAATCTCTCCCCATAAGCCTTTCACAGAGACACACATCAATAGCTCCACATACATGCCCTCCCCCGAATCTAGCAAGTCACTATTGAACGCAAAGACAGGAGGACGGCGAAAAGGGGCACTTCAAGCCCAACCAGGCCAGGATATCGTGGTATGCTGCATACCCTCCAAATTTGAAAATCGTGCACTCCCAAGATCCAGCAGTCATCATGTCAGCAGCTATACTACACAGCAGCAGCAGTATAGACGAGTCCAACATACAGCAGTGCTGTAGTAACACATACGTTATGATCATAGCCCCCCACACACCCTCGCCCGAACCTAGAGAGCCACTGATGCAATGGTAGGTGTGTGCTGGTGTGCTTGCGTGCTTGTGGGAATTGTGGGAAAATCACAGGAGCTGTAGTGAGCCGGCAGGGCTCACATTGGGGAGGGGACAGAGAAGCACAGAAGTACAAGAACCAGCCACGGGTCTACAAGCCCTCTCACTGATCATTTGAACATACTGAGAATAGAGTAGTTTAGGCGGCTTGACGACTGATCTTTTTGAGGTGTACGAGCCTAACTTGCCCTAGCGGCCGCACCGCGACCACGCATCAACCCTTCTACGACCCTGTCTGTGCCCACCGTCCTGTCGCGGGCAGCCCTCATGGCCTATGGGTGGAGATAGCTGTTGCGTCTACAGAAGTACACCAGTCTCTTTCTGCTGTACTTCTGTCTCTCTCCCCGCACTCTCTCCTTCCGTTCTTTTTATCCGCAAAAAAAAAAAACAAGAGCTAGACTCAAAGGGGTTAATGAACGGTACACACCTCAGTCATGTAACCGACAGTTCTACCACCCAGAAAGCATCTAGGTTCCCACGAAAAAATGAGAAAGGTTCTTCTTCCTTCCATGTACTTACCTTGGCGCCAAACCCGAGACCTTCCACGGCGCGGATGACGTCACGCACTCCGCTCGCCTCTTTTCCGGTACCCTCTTCCATTGACGAAGGCTTGCCACCGCTTCCGTCGCCTTTGAAAGTGATGCTAGCGCGGCCTGTGGTAACGCTGACGGAGCACGAGGCCACTCCGGGAAGGGCCAACACCGCTCGCTCCACCTAACACGGTGGCGGCGTATTTGGGGGGTAAAGAAGCCGTGATGACGCGTCGGGAAAGGCAAGGACGGTCAAGTCACCAACAGCAGGCTCTGCACTCTGGCCCTCAAACCAAAGCGAAAGAGATGCCCACACGAAATAAACAGGCCGCAAGTTTGGCGAACAATTCATCAGCTCCTCAAACCTCGTTTACCTTCCCGCTGCACGAGGTGCACGACATTCCGGTAACCTCCACCTCCAGGGTGTTTGGCCTACCCCCCCCCCCTCCGCCGCCCGCCTTGCTGGTTCTGACAGTCCGGAGGTGCTGGCACTTGTACCCCAGGCCGGACACTCCTCGTGCGATGTCCTCCGGGGCAAGCTGTTCCGTGTCATACTTCACCTCTGCCTGCTCACATCAAAACATAGCGTTACCCGTAAGCGTAAGAGTGAGAAGGGCCGTGGAAGGTCTAACGAGATGCATGAAAGAACCGCATGCTCGAATTGGACACGCGCCACATGACAAACGAGCGACAAGCCGAAGTACAACATCGTCTAGAACGAAAATGCACTATCGGCGACCCCCGTGCTGACGAAAGCAGCGGTTTGTGAGCGGGAACCTGCTCCCGAATCAGCAAAAAGGCGTGACCATCGTCAAAGAGTACTTCACAAGCCTTAGCCTTTCAACCGAAACCACAAAGAGTACTTCACGAGAAAAAGCCAGCAGCAGTGAAATAGATACAGCAGTTGCCGTTGCCGTTGTCGCACCTGGCCGGCGAGAAGAGCAACGCGAACTTCCCCGACGCCCCTCATCGCACCCACGAACCGCTCCACCTTGCCCACACAGGCCGCGCACGACATGCCTTCCACGGTGAAGCTCCCGGTAGACAACACCAGCTGCCCGCCGCCGCCGCCGCTGCCGCCGCTAACGTCGCCGCTCCGGCCTCCTTTGGCGCCACCGTTCGACGAAATGACGACGGCACTGGCACTCCTTCCCCCGTTCTTCGAGCCACGACTTTCGGTATTCAGCTCTCTACCGGTGACGGAAGACGGCCGTAGCTGCTGCCGTGGCTGCTTCTTGGCAGGGATAGGGGCCCCTCCATTCACACCGGCCGGTGGTGGTGGTGGTGGTGATGGTCCCGGCGCCGCGGCGCCGCTCGCATCGAAACCCACCGTCACCACGGCGTCGACAAGGGTCCCGGTGGACAGCAAAACCCCCCCTCCGCTGCTACCCCAGACCCTGGCCCTCTTCTCGGCGAACGAGACCTCCGCGCGCGACACTCCCGCGACGTTCTCGAGAGCCTGCCGCACGGTGGTGCCGCAGCTGTTCTGGCACATCATGCCGGAGACCTCCAGCTCAACGGCAGGGGCTTCGGCTGCCTCGAAGCCGATCGTTTCGATGGCGTCCACGAGGTCCGCCGACCTCAAGCCCACCCCTTCGCTGCCGCCACCGCCCCACACGCGCGCTCGCTTCTGCGCGAACGAAACCTCGGCGCGGGAGACGCCGGGCACGGCCTCAAGGGCCTGCCGTACCGTCGTGCCGCAGTTCTTCTGGCACATCATGCCCCCGACCGCCAGCAAAACGGCCGGAGCAACCTCGGCCCCAAACCCGACCCCTTCCACAGCAGCAACTAGGGCGTCCTCGGTCCCGCCGTTAAGCCAGACCAGGGCCCGTCGGTCGGCGAAGGACACCTCCGCCCGGTGCACCCCGGCGACGGCCGCGAGAGCGGCTTGGACCGTGGTTCCGCAGTTTCGCTGGCACATCATACCCTCCACCTCCAGCACCACGTCCGGCAGCACCATTGCGCCGAAACCGACGCTCTCCACCGCCCCGACAATAGAGTCCAACAAGGCGGGGTCGCCGCCGGCGCTGCTGCCGTCGCCGGTCCACACTCTCGCGCGGCTTTCGGCGAAAGACACCTCCGCGCGGAGGACTCCGGGGACCGAGGTCAGAGCCTGCCGTACCGTGCTGCCGCAGTTGTTCTGGCACATCATGCCCTCGACGGCTAAGACGACGACCATCGTGGTTCTGGCGCTGCTGCCGCCGTACAGCAGTGCCGATGCCTATTCCTTGTTGCTGACGCCGCCGGCGGTCAAAACCTCTCTTGTAACTCGCCGCTTGTCGTCGCCGCCGCAATCACGGCGAACGTGAGTCCGAGCCTAAAGGTCGTCGAGGTGCCGTCAGGCCCGGCGCGCTCATGCACCACTACCGTCCCCCCGAGCTGGTCGAAATAGCGGCCGCCCTGTCTGATTCCACGTCAAGACTCCCGACGTCCTCGCACACCGACGCCAATACCAGGCGCAGGAGGTGTGGTGTTTGAGGTACAAACCGATAGTCCTGTTGGATGCACGCAGGAGGGTCGTGCGGACGTTGAAAGGGAGATGGTCACATTGGTGTCGGTGCGCATGGCATAGCAGCGTGGTGCGTGTGGCATGACTCGAGATGAGGGACGTGATCTGTTGGTGCATTGCGAAGCCTATCCACAGTATTTAATGCATTTATTTTGCGCTGGTTGCGACTGCCAAACAAGGCGAGCGGTGTCCGCCTTGATGTCAAGGCAAGAAAAAAAACACCACACCCACTACCATTCTGTCTTCTCCCGTGACCCCCCCCCCTCACGGGGTACCATATCATAAAAACCTGTAAAAGTGTTGCCAATTTGTGCATAGGAAAGCCGACAGAGACGAAATCAACGTATTTTCATTGATCAGCCCGTTCGCGTGGTGATTATTGGAGTATCGATCAAGACAAAAAAAATGGCCAAAATCGCTCTCGTCTCGGCACCAGCAAGCTGGGCTGTATCAGAGAATGCTCCGAGCGCAAATTTCACTCTGGAAGGAGACAGAATTATGGGTCTCCCCAAGAGCTTCTCGTGGGGCGCACACCATCGCGGCATTCTACAACTTGCTTCGCGCTTCGCCCTTTTTGTGTGCGCTTGTGTACTTGCACGGCACGCTGCTCGGACGTGACTTCCAAGGGATGATTGAACCACTACTTTTTGCTTGTGACAAAACGTTAAACGCAAAACACAGATCCCATACAGTCAGTTTCTGTGCGACAATAACAAGGGGAGCAAACAAGTGCTGCGGGTGTTTTCGCGGAGGGCATGAAACAAAAACAGAGACACACTCCATGCACTCCTTCTGTAGACAGAGTATTCTGCACTCCGTGCTCCTGATGGGTACAAAAAATGACGGTGTTGCAGATTTTTCACGTGAAATTGGGGAAACACAGCAGTAGCCCTTGGTATGCCCTCATAAACACGAACCGCGACTGAGCGTCCAGTAGCTCTTGGCCTAAGCTCCCCAAGGCAAACGGGCATGTGCAGCACCGTACCTGCTGCCTATTGCTATCCAGGCGATCATGAGAGGGCGACAGGATACGGCGGGCAAATAAAGCTATGGATGTGTAGATAAGGCATGGCGACAGCCCCCTTGGGTGTCTAGCAGCTTGGCACACCCCTTTTCGGAGAGCCTGGTGGGTACATCGACCACCCTCGCCCATCTATCCTGACCAGCGTGATGGCAGCAGGCACCTACTACTATCGTCATATGGACGTATACAGCAGTAGTACATACAAAAGTCCCCCGCTCAACCGCCGTGCTTGTTTTGTACCGGTAGTCGTCACGGTTTCTTGGGAGGCCAAGGAAGGTCAGTGACCCCATCCGTGCAAAAGTTGGACACTGACAGAAAAACGATAGAGTAGGCTTTACCGGGGAAGACGTCTTCTATCAAGCACGTGCTATGCGATGGCCACGCTTTCCCCGCTGGACTGCGTGCTTTGCACATCATAAACTGCCCTGCTACGTACAGCAGTAGATCGACACAAAATGATGCATACCTCGGCACGCGCAGATTTGTCAATCCGTCCGCTAACTTCAGGCAACGCGCTGTACCATCAAGTGCCCTCCAGCTTGCTGCTGAAACTCGCTGTCCCCGCAGAGATCTAGATGAGCAGTTCCGCACCCACCAGCTAACGCCCGGCAGGTCTTGTCGCGGGCTGGCTTGGAGTGCGCTACGGCGTGTGTGCCCCTGCAACCCCTCAAAGCTCTTGCCCTCTCTTCCTCTGACTCTCTCGTCTCATAAAAAGGTTCTCGGCCCTTTCCGGACATTGCGAGGTTGCGCCGCACCTGTGTCATTTCAACCATTTTTCACCACAGCACCAAACCTCGTCCACACCTCGTGCGGCTATGTACCACGCATCATGACCTCCTCCTCTTCGCTGAATGTGATTGGTATCGAGGATGACATGTTCATGGGCGAAGCTCCTGGTTTCGGTGGCTGTATCAAGCAGGTGGCGGCTGACTTTTTGGTAAGCGTGATACGCTCGCTTGATGCATCGTCAACCTGTATGCTAGCAGTGGTTTACACCAGTGTTATCAGACATGTGTCTCTCATGCAAATGTGCTGCGCTTGCACCGCCCTTCAATGCAGCAGGTCTTGTCCTGATTAACGAGTTGGTTTGCAGAGGGCGGGTCCAGAGACAATACCAGAGACACCATAATTGCTTTATGTGTGCGGATCGATCGCTCTTGCTTTTCGGCATTGTGCGGGCGCTGCTGCAAGCACGCACAACAGCTTCCAGCAGCAGCTGTGTGCAATCACGGCGTGTATGTGAACGAGATCCTCCGAACACATGTAGGTAACCAAATTACCTATCAATTAGCACGCAAGCCATGTCATCAGCTGCTCATTCCGAGCTGCTGCACTTGAGCCTGTGGCATTCCACAAATTCCAGCACGAATTTCATTGGAAGGAACCGCCAGTGCTCCCATCTTTGCTACGCTCCGCTTTTCGTGGTAGAGGAACCGTACCAGCTTGAGCTATGTCGAACCTTCCGCGCATGTCCTATGGGCACTTGCGCACTCTCTGCAGGTGAACGAAATCGATTCGTCGGGCCGGCTGGTGGAGGCATCAAGCCTCACCCTTCCTCCCGCGCCCCCAGCGCCAGTGTCAGCATCTGGGCGACCCATACCATCAACGGCGGCCGGGAATACCATGGAACAGCAGTCCAACCGCAGCAAGAGTGGAGATCATGGCGCTGGCTCTTGCACGCGGGTGGGGCAGGCGGAAGATGACTCTGAGCTCGACTGGGCCCAAGAGCTGCGGCGGTGTCTAGCGGGGTCAGAGTCCGATTTTTCGAGGCTAGCAAGGCTCGACGCCGCAGCGAGAGGAGCCTCAGCACCAGCCCAAACGGCACCGTCGCCAACGCCAGTACCAGCAGTAGCGGGAATGGGCTCAGCCGAGAAGAACGAAGGAATGACACTCGCTGGGGATGTGACTGGGCAGGAAACTGGAGCTTCTGAAGCAAGGGAGCAACAATTGGCGGAGGCGGAGAAGGGAGAGACGGACGGCGCTGTACTTGTATGGGTTCATGCCGGGCAGGGGGCGGACAAGGCCGCTCGGGCCAGGGTGCATCGTGCGGTACAGGAGACATTTCCATTCATCAAGGTGATGAACGGCTACTTGTATATCAGCCGTGTTTCTTTGAGTATGCGAGAGTTAAATTTTTCTTGAGGATAAATCCAGCGGGGTTAGCCATCATGGTGAGCTAAAAATGTTGCTTGGCTCTTGTTCGGCGTGTGTGTACATCTCTTGCCGTCATTGTGATTTGGAAGACTACAACTGAGAAGGCCCCCGATGGGAGCGTTACGGTGGTGTGCACCCAGGCATCGCCACTTCCGGCACTTCGTGGACTCTTATCGGGACCGGATTTAGAGGCTTTACAAAGGTAAGATATCCTGCAGAGATCGGTAGTCTTGTCGCCGTGTGTTCCTGTTTTAGCGTGCCGACGATGGTTGAACCCATCACCGAAGCGTCGCATGCTCGTCTTGAAGGTGGACGATTGCCTCGCAAACAGTTATCACGAGCCATCCCACACGGATGCGGCTTCGGCTCGACCCACCGGTCTCGGCAGGTCCGCCGTCCGATATTGCCTGTCGGCGTGTATCCCTTGACACGGTTCATTTTTAACATCTTCCCAGGCTGGTCAACCGAGGGCCGAGCGGGAAAGGCGCAGATTCAGGCGTGACTCTGTCATCCGACATGGACCGAGCGAACAGAACCCTGGTTCATCGGGCCATTTCAGGTACATACTGCTGTTCTTGTTCCTTTTGCTCTCTTGAGAATGCGGGTAGCATAATGGCCATCGCTCAGGAACAGGGCAGCGGCGGCGATTCCACCTTTACTGTTGAGGCTAAGCTACGGACAGGTGTCTCGAAGTCCACCCGATGTGCACCGACTAACGGCGGGAGTCCCGGGGCCGAACCCGACGATGCCATCCGAATATCAAAATATCAGTTTTGGCCGTTTTGCTGAGGCGCAACTGCCGATTTTTCGGCCAAAGCCGAGACTTACGCACGCATGTCTATACCCTATTTTTACGTGGTGCGATCGGCCTTTCTTTCGTCTTGATGGGAAGCCGCTGATACGCTGAGGGATTCACCGCGTGTGCTAGCTAGACCTCTGTGACGATACGGAACCCCCGCGGAACAAACAGTCGTTGCGTGGAAAGGCCGAAGATTTACGAGATCCTGTCGTGCTTGGCTTCCACCCCCCCTGTTCCCCCCGAAGAGGCGTTTCCGTATCTGCAGACCAAGACGTGCAACGACCCGAAGGATCCAAGTTCGCAGCGGGTGTCCGTATTCTGGAGCAAGCGCAGGGGCGGTGGCGGTGGCAGAAAGCGGAAACGCCAGGGGTTTGACTCCCACGGCGGCAACGATTCAGGGTGAGAAATCGGTGTGGCCCCGACCTATCAAACACGTTGGCACGAGCGAGGGAACCTTCGGCTAAGTCGCAGGGCTTAGAATAGTGCTCGAGCGGCTGATGGGCGTTTTTCGCGTCAGCCTGAAAGGTCTGCGGCTGTCTGTACTGGTAGAAAGGGGGAAAGGCTCGGCTCGCACCAGGGGCGGTCTTAGCCATGTATGTCTCAAAATGATGCACTAGGGGCAGTAAGGTACACGCCTCCGCCAATGTGTGATCGGGGTACGCAACACACGAGCACCTATCCTATGTACAAGCCGGAGCTTTACTCCAAACCTCCCCACCCGTCATTCACCTTGCTCCGCCCATGCACAATACCTGTGACAGCCGCAAATGTGGGGGCGCTAACGAGGGCTCCGGAACACGATGGGTTCGGTTTGGCCTCCGCAAAGAAGGGCGCGAGCACCACGTGACCGCGTTAGCGTTGTCCAAGGTACCCTTAGTTCCTCATGCGGTTGTACCGCTGTCTTGTCTTGAATGGAGCGGTTTGTTTGTTGAGCTGGTGAACTGGGTAGTAAACGTGCATGATTGGCCATGCGTTGGTGTTCGCGAAAATGATTACTTCGACGTCAGAAGCTTGGATTGATCGGTTTGATGTCGTGGATTCACTATTTCGGCTGGTCTGACGTAACTCAAGTACATCCTTTCTTTATTCTCTCTCTCCTCCCCTCCCCCCCCCCCTCTCTCCCTCTCTCTCTGGGTTCTTGATTCGTTCGTTTTTTGCCCGATTGGCTCATCGAGGTTTGCGTTTGCCCAATTTTGTACCGGCGTCGTAAAACCGTTTTCGGACTCCATTTTGACACAGAGCCTACGGCTAGGTGTAAGAGCTCCACTTAGGTTGACCCCTTTCATATCTATTTCGCTCTCTTTCGGCGTACAATCCGTGCCTCGTTGCCACAGGCGCTGCGCGTCCCTTTGTCGGCGTTGTCCTTCGGAGGCATCAAGGACAAGAGGGCCATCACCACGCAGGCAGGTTTCAACATGCCCCGTTTTGCTGTGCTGCTATTCAGCCATCAGTTCATATCCACTGAGTTGCCACCGGCTTGAACGTTTTTTCGTGGCAAGATCATGGCATGTGCGGCAGACTGAGAGGGTAGAGAGGTCTCAGCGGAGATAACCCTTGTGCGTGACCCCGTGTTTTCCATAGTACCTGAGGGAGAGAGGCCAGATCGGTGTAGAGACTACTTATACACGATATGGAGGGAGCACAAGAAAACAGTTCGTGCCGCGGTAGACGGCCTTGTCGGTGCCTACACATGTTACTCTACTTCTACAGTGCCACAACTTTCCTTGGTTTCCTTTGCCTTGTGTTCGGTGCAGTGAATCGAAGGTATGTTTATTGGACCATGCCGTGTTCTGTTGTTGTTAGGGGGGGGGGGCTGTTGAGAAGCTCCACCAAGACTACGCTCACCGCCGGAGTGTTTTGTAAGCACCTTAGTCTAACATTGAATGGGTAGAACCCTCCAGTGTACTCGGAGAGCAATGCAGCATGGTTTTCGTTCATTGGCAGCAAAGCCGCACTTTTGGATGGAGGCCATCTATCGCGTTGAGCAGAGTACACCAACCACCAACGGACAAGAACAGCGTTTCACCCCTTTGGCTCCCATCATACCAGAATGAGAAGGCGTCGACTTACATAAAGATAGTCATTCAGGTTGGCGAGAGCTTTGCCATGGCTGGTCGGAGGTGATCACGAGCCGTTGTTCCTCTTCCTGCACGAAGTACGGCCCTAATACGTGACCATTTCTTCTATGTTTTTTATATTATTTTTGGCCCTCGATTCTTTCGAGACAGGCGTGCATCGTGAAAGGGGTTCCGCCAAGAAAAATCCTGGAAATCAACGGCTCTATTCCCGGAGTTACCGTTGGCAACCTATCATACTGCGCTCGTGGCCTCAAGTGAGTACAGGGCTATGGGGGATGAGCAGCGAGAGGCAGATGGCGTAACGACCTTTTGTTTTTGAGATTGATGTGTCTAGCCGAAGCAAATCACCGAAATCTACCCCACTGTCATCGTCTGGATCACATAATCGCTTCTTGAAACTTCGGGCAGCAACCCTGCTTCCCTTCCCCTCTCCGTTCTTCGGTGTTTCAAATTCCGACGACCGCCCCGACACAGTTTGGGGGAACTGTCTGGCAACAAGTTTTCGGTCGTAGTGCGAGGCGTCATGGTGCCGGGGGCGGCTGTGAAGAGCTCCCTTGAGGAAGCATGCTCTAACGGTTTCATAAACTTCTATGGAACACAGAGGGTTGGGTCGCCGCTTGCCGCGGCTCGAGGACAGCCGCTTCCGTACCAGGCAAGGGATTCCGACCGTTTTTTTCGTTTTTGGGAAACAGTTTCATTCGTGAGAGCGCGCAATGAATCGTGTCATGAGTGATTAACACGAGGGGTGTCATTTTGTTTCGTTGCAATCATACCAATTACTGTTTTCGTTCTAGTGAAATGGCATCCAGACTTGTTTATTACCTTGCTAGGGCGTTGTATTGACGCCCCAACCTTTTAGGAGACCAGTTTTGTCGGGCTTCCAGACGAACATTGAAGCCGGGTAGGCAACCAATATCGCCGCAGCCCCAAAATCCTGAAAGACACACCCGTGTCTCATGAGGCGGTGCAAAGTCCCATCTCTGAAGGCAGTACCACGAGAGACTCAACAGGAGCAACGATGACACGTCGTGATGACAGTTCGAGCAGCACGAGTGGACGGGGGACAATGGAATAAGTAACGGCAGCACAACTAGACCAGGAACCGACCGCTTAGTGTCGTGTTTTTTTTTTTTCTGATACTTCTTTCAGATCGGCAGACACGTTTTGGCCGGCGACTGGGAAGCAGCGGTGAAGAAAATTCTACAGCCCAGAGACAACGATCCACCCTTCCTGCACTCGGCCCTCGCTGAGTTTTTTGAGGGCAAGATCACCGCAAAAGATTGCGCAGCGCGCGTGAGGGGCCGAAAGTGAGAAGCATAGCTCCACATGAATGTAGCTGGGTTTGCGGCGCATGGTGTGTTGACGATGACGGATACTAGTCGGTGTTGCTGTTTGCGATTGCCCGCTGATACCTTCCCAATTCCCGAGCCAAAGCCTAAACGAAGCCGCTTGCAAGATTGCTTTCGGCTTTCTGTCTGCCCTGCCTTGGCGTTCTGTGGTCATTTATGTTTTTTCGTCATTATCGCTACCGTATGATATGAACTGGCAGTCGCTGTCGTCAACGAAAACCCATATCCCGTTAGAGGGGTCGACGTGGTGGTGAACTGTTCACCCCCTTTCATTTTCATCTGGCTAACCTTCGCAAGTATTGGTTCATGGGGATAAAGGTGGTGTTGCATACCGTCTGTTTCACGGATGGTTTTTCCTTCCCTTGCCCCATGGGACTGTGCTCGTTGCCGGTCTCAACTCGTGGTCCGAAGAAGAACGCATCTTCCCGGGTGGAGAACGTATTTGTTTATTCGTACCTTTAGACTGTGACGGCGAGATTTTTCCTTCAAAGGGTACGGAGGAGATTCTGGAAAAGTAGAAGCAAAGCTAACGTTTTCTAAATCTGTACATACATCTGCCAACATGCCTCGTGCTGTTCGTTTCCCATCTACGGTAGCCGACTGTCCACGGAGCGATTAGTTCTGCAGGGCTTGGTTCGCTACGGCGCTTCCGCTTTCCAAGCCGCTATTCAGGTTTGCGGAGATTATTTTTAGCTGGCTTGGCTTACACTACGGTTTTGCCAAGCCGCTTTTACGGTCGAGCTTCAATGTCCGTTCAAAAGGGGCTCATTTTCGTCCTATTCGGGTGTGTACCAACGGCGAGACACCTACAATCTCACGTGCTCTATTCCACTGGGAGCGATATTTTTTCCGGCCTGTGGGCGCTCGACGACTATCTGCGGGTTTTGATCGAGAACCCTTGTGCAAGGAGCACTAGCCTCACTCTTTGCCTCCCGCCGATCGAAACAAAAAGTGCTACTATTCAGCAAGCACGCCTCCGGCGCGTAATTTCTTTGGCGGCACGAAGGACTAACGATCTCCTGGTCTTCCCCTCGCCCCCCCACGCGCAGTGCGTCCCTTTTGGCATGCGCACGATGTGGGTGCACGCCTACCAGAGCCATGTTTGGAACTCCTTGGCCTGCGCGAGGATTCGCCTGCTCGGGTCTGAAGCGGTACCCGGCGACCTCGTACTCCCGGCCGACGTTTGCACCGCCACCGAGGAAATCGGGGAAATGTCCCCTGCATTTACCGGTGCTGTGTCGGCTGGGACCGAGGATTCACTCCCATCTTCTTGTGCTGCAAGAGCGCCTGCTGCAAGAGAGGATGGCGAAACCGAGGAAACATGCCCCGGGAGGCACGTCAACGGACTGCTGTCCTCTACCACTGCTGCGGTCGGCGACGGTGCTAAGGGGAGCGGGCATGAGGCCGGGGATGGTCACACCGGTAGGGAATCTGCCGGCAGCAGTTCCGTTGCGAGTGGCAGAGGGAGAGGGCTGGTTACGGCCTTGACGAGTGAGACGATACAGGCGTTCGCGTCCGAGGGTGTGACACCTAGGGACTTGCTGCGACGAGTCGTCCTACCGCTGGCCGGAACATCGATTCAGTATCCCCTCCATCAGGTAGGATTGACCCACAACAGTATTTACTGTCCCCACGACAGCATCTTCAGACAAGCACGCGTGCACCCCCTACGCGATCGCTAGAAGTTGGAGCTCCAAAACGGTGGGACGTTGAGTCTAATTGGTTTCGTCAACAAACTAACCGACCCTCGCTTGTACTCGCCAGCCTCGGACCGTAGAAGACTGTAGTTATGAGGCTGAAAGTGCCCTGCTTGGCGCCACCTGTATGTCTCCCACCGTGTAGAGCAACTACAATCGTCGCGATTCGCCTCTATACGAAGATTTTTGCTGGCACGAGCTTGACTACTGTGTTGAGGCACTTGCCAGCGTGCGTCTCACGGTTCGGTTCCGATCCTCTGTGTCGGCCGTGCGTCGATCAGGTCCGCACACCAGCCGGATCGTCGCTATTATTTCCAGGCGAACACCCCAGCTTTAGCCCCCAGCATACTTTCCCCCGCCGGTCCCCGCGCATTTCCGCGCCCCGAAAAGTGTAGTATTTCGCCCCGGAATAAAGAGAAACCTTGACCCCTCCCTCTCCGCTCTGGAGACCGAACAAGTGCCCGCTGACTTCCTACCAAAGCCGCACCTTGTGCTCTTCGTTTCGACGGGATGTTCGTGCATATCTCTTTCTTTCTCAACCGGTAGGGCGCGGCAAGCAGCGCAAGTATTGTAGGTGGGCCGTCTACCATTACCACTATTGGCGGCGAGCTTTCATCGTGTGCTTCCTAGTCTTGAGCACTCCGGCTCCAACGGCAACATAAACCCCGCCTGCCCTACCCGGCCGACGAACCGCAAGCAGATCGGAAGCATGTACCGGCAACGGCTCCAGGAAGATGGTGTCGATCCTCTCATGTGGCCGGCACCAACACCACCCTTCAAAACACATTTTCCTCGACTGCCTGACGGGACAACACGTGCGACAGCAATTGACGCGGCGGGGTTAACGGCATCCCAAGCACCTCTGACCGGTGCCCCTTGCCTGTCGCGGGGGATAGGAGGTGATGTTGGCGGCAGGGACAGCACGGCGGCGGAAACCGTGACGGTGGCGACTGAGGAGGCGGTCGCGTCCTCTACGCTAGTACCAAGGGGCGCCTACCGCCGGCTGCTGTGCGTGCCTGTGGATTCGTCTTGGGAAGCGGTGGCTCCGTTAACGAAAGCCGACGATCCAGAAGAGGTTCGAATCAAACGGTCGTCCATGTCTGGCCGCGGCCAACCAAACGGGACCACCCCTCCAGGTGATGCGGCTACTGCGCCTGGTGATAAAGGGAGAGTACCATTAAAAGACGGGCATAGTGATGGCTCGCAAGTATCGGGGGATGGTGGGCAATCGGGAGGGTTTGCAAAGGATAGAGGCGGGGCAGATCTTAAGGCTGCGTCTGCCAACGACGTGTTGACCGACGTTCGCCTCACGTTCACACTGCCCCCCGGCAGCTTCGCGACCATGTGTCTTAGGGAAGTAATGAAGAGGAATGATGATGTTGGTTGGGGGTCACGGGGTGCAATGGAGGAACCACAGGAGGAGGGGGGGGTTGCGGACACCATTGCGGTGGACAGGACGTTGTAGGGTTAGATTCCGTGATTCTCTTGGCTGCGCCAACGGACGTCAGGAATCATGACACGGGCAAGCTTGCCAAGGCTCGGGGAGCAGTCTGCCTGTCAGAGTTGCGTCGTTCAGGTTCACTAACGTATTTTCTAGAAGCTGCAGCTGCGAGATGAAAATCTTCACGGATTCCGAGAGATTGCGAGGGGTGCGGTGTCTTCTCTCCCTTACGGCACGTACTTCGTTCCGAGTATTCGACACCGGCGAAAGTTGATGCGGTAGTGCCGCAACAAAACCAGTTTCCTTATTGTTCAACATCGGGTGGTGCCGCCGATTCTGATTGCGCCAAGAAACCTTGGCGATGAGTATTTTCAGCCAACGTGAAGACGTCACACTTTGATCGAGAAGGGTAGCGACCCCTTTCTCTCTGTCTCGTGTGCCGAGATGCCATGCACCATGACCGGCAACACAGCAGTATGTCCCCATGAACATCGCAGGCACCCAAACGAAGCCGGTCGCCCCGATGGTCTAATTGGCATCCTCGCAACCTTCTAGAGGTCAGGTCAGGGGTTCGAATCCCGGCGTAAGCGAGCTTTTCTTGCAAAGTGAGTTTTTCTCTCGCTTCCGCTCCTGGTCTATAGTGGATAGCGCTAGTTCGCGTGTACACAGAGGGAAGAGAGTGCTGAACTCTTCTCGCATTAAAAATCGAAGGCAAAGTACATCAGAAGGGAAGGGTAGAGAGGGGCTCTTCTGTGTGACCACAGGTTGGAGTAAACGGCACTAGTGCTGTGAGGGCTGATTTGAAGTGAAGAAAAAAAAAAAAAAAACTTGCACAAATCTCAAGGTTCTTTCTATATCCTCCGACGGAGAATAGGTAGGAAAACACAGCACCGCTCCCCCACAAAAGTCGCTCGGATGCAGCCACGAAAACAAGAGGGCGCAAGTAGAACACGTGACAAGCTTGCGGTCGAGTGATCGTGGGTTAGACCTTGGCCCTTACGCCACATTCCCTGTTGTGTGTTCTCGTGAGGTTCCAACATTTTCCCCGGAATTGCCCGAGAACATATTCGGCAATTTTTTATTGCTGTCTGGCCAGCTTTGCGCGCTCGTGCTCTCCAGAGATGTTGCTACCTTGCCTGCTGTCTGGCCAGCTTTGTGCGCTCGTGTTCTCCAGAGATGTTGCAACCTTGCCCGAACTGTTGCCATCCCAACGCTGGGTCAATCTAATCTCGTGTCCAGGGGCTTGCATAGCCCTGGTTCCGCAGCGACAGGCGTAGTTGGCGGTGTTCGGGGTGGTCGTTCTGCCCCGCCGAACCGAAGAGGCCGTGCTGAAGGAGATACTGGGGAATACCGTGCGTGCGTAAAATACCTGTTGTTCTGGCCCCCTCCTTGGGGGCTAATCTGGACGAGTTAACCCTTCTATCCAGAATGTTACGAGAGGCGCAATCGGTATGAGCGTAATCAACAGCTGAGTAGGATGTCTCTAACTGGCGCGGTTTAACGAATACAAGCGACTGGGGCACGAACACAACACTGAAAACGTGTGAAACTCGCACCAAAACACAAAACCAACTCGAGCTACTCTGGCTTGCGAAACCGCTGAAGACCCCAGTCACTACACAATACGAAGCTGACGGTCCGATGGTCAACATTGCAGCACGCGGCCGAAACTCGTACCATGAGCTTTGTCAATCTCACACCAGGCAAAAAGGGCTTTGAGTGTGAAGCAGACGAGTGCAAAGCAGATAAACCAATCCCGACGAAAAAAAACAGAAAAAAAACAGTCCCACAGGATACGTGCACGACGGCAAGCCCGATGATTTCGTAATGTCACACCAGGCTCACAAGGGCTACAACTGTGAAACAGGACAAAGCAGAGAAACCAACCAATTCTTCGGGTTCAAATCTTGATCCCGACGAATAAAACCAGACAGATATAGTTCCACAGGATACATGCCCCACGGCAAGCCCTAACTTTTCGCATTCTCACGCCAGGCTTAAAAGGGCCATGACTGTGAAGCAGAAGGACAAACGTACATTATACAAGTACAATCACAAGTTTGGGTTCCTCGTTAACCGGACGAAAAACAGCGGACAGAGATAGTCCCACCGGATACGTGCACCACGGCAAGCCCGATATTCTTGCATTCTCACACCAGGCTTAAAAGGGCTTTAGCTGTGAAAGGATAAAGCAGAGCAGAGAAAATCACCAACTTTGGATTCAGTAATTGATCCCGACGAAAACAAGCAGACAGAGATAGCCCCACAGTATACGTGCACCACGGCAATTCCGATGTTCATGCAATCTCACACCAGGCTGAAAAGGGCAATAACTGTGAAAGGATAAAGCAGAGACAATCACCAACTTTGGATTCAGTAACTGATCCCTACGAATAAAGGCAGAGATAGTTCCACGGGATACATGCCACGCGGCAAGCCCGATATTTTCGTAATGTCACACCAGGCTCAAACGGGCGATCACTGATCACTGTGAAACAGAAGGACAAAGTAGATACAATCACAAGTTTGGGTTCAACTCTTGATCCCGACCAATACAAGCAGACAGAAGTAATCCCATAGGATACGTGCACCGCAGCAAGCCATATTTTCTACTCCCCAATTGAACATGCGACGGTGGTCCCCAATATACTCTGATAGTCGCTTGCTTAGCCCGCTTTCGTATTTCGTTTAGTTTCATGCACATCGAAATGTTGATGACCACAATCGATAAAGTACGGTTTACGATAGGATCGAGTAATGTACAGGTGGAGACTTAACATATATGTATGACCGCCTACGGCAGGATGGACAGTAAAATACTCGAACCGGACAGGAAAACATTCAAACCGGACCGTAAAACATTCGAAATCACGCAGTGAAACATGCAAATCGGAAACAATCGATACACGAAGAAATCGGCGAAGGTTGAGAATAACCGCTGCGTCCGCTGTTGCCGCCGACACCACCGCTATTCCCGCCGCACCTTTTCCAGCGACGGTGGCGACCCACTTCCTTACCCTTGAAGGTTGGTCTGTTTTCATGGTGGGATACCCTTCGGAAACACGTTCCTACTCGGGGCTGCTGTTATTGCTGCTGTTGCTGCTGATGCTGATGCTGACACCGCGCTGGCCGTAGTTCGGGAGGCCGCCATCGACAGTGGTCAATAAAATGGTGTCCTCGTCAACGCTGCTGGCCCTCCGCAAGGTCCCCACCACCCTGTCCTGCGAGGGGTCCCCTGCCAGCAGGTGTGATGAAGCCTGGCGCATGGGCTGGCGTGGACCCGTTCCGCCGCTGTTGCCACGCACAAATCCTAGTAGTCGACGCATGGATTCCCCAAGGGGATCATCCGCAGGCGTTGAGTCGGACAACTGTCCAACCCTGTCTCTTTGCTCAAGTTGAAGGAACCTGAGGTAGGGTTCAAGAGAATCACACTTTAGATGGTGGGGGGGGTGATAGTCGCATCATATCTTTTCAACCATTGGAGCACAACAACAATCGGATCGCTCGGAACAGCAGCGTGGAAACCAACGATGTTGAAACCAATGACGAAGGCGTGAGGGAAAGAACAACTACAGTTGGTCCTTCGTCAGCCAAAATTGGATCAGCCACCCTAGACAATTCTTCGCATCCTCGAAGCGCGAGGGCTTCGGTTCTCTGCAAGATGTGCATGCACGAGTACCCCTACGCCCCAAAATTTGGAGGATCCTTTCCAAAAGAGCAAAGTCACTCAAAACATCCGGGCACATATCCCAGCTACATATGCATGCGATGAGCGTGGTACGTTTCGGTCGAATTTTACAAAGGGCGGCCACCATCTGACGAAGCCGAGGTCTGCGAACGATTCTATACCTCTGTAGACACAACAACGCGCAGTCTTCAGCAACGCTTGCGGGGTAAACACGTAATATTATTATGGATGCACGGTTTTGAACAATGCTGTACAGAACCGAACTGCTGCGAAAACCTCTACAGCGTAACACCGGGAAGTTTCATCCACACAAAAATCTGACAATTATACGAGGCCGCTGCCCTCACCGCTTGATGACGTCATCCTTCTCGATCATCTTGACGGAAGACGCCAGCCTGACCCTGTACTGAGCCCCGTTAGGCTTGCTGGTGGTCCGGTGGTCCTCCACCTCCTCGCTCTGGTCGTGCGCGTGTTGCTCTGCGCGGTGGGCGGAGGATGGGGCAGCGTTTCGAGTTGGCTTCCGTAGCATCTGACATTGGCGAATGAACGTGTTTTATCGTGCGGGATGCGGAGAGTACTTATCTAGCGAAAATGACAGGTTTGCGTTTGGTAGTGGGAAGGGGTTCTCACCTAGGAAGTTCATCTTCTCCGCGTGCCTCGTGCGCCTCGCTGTCCACTGAATGATGAAATTTTCCAGCACAACCGCGATGACCAACTGACACATACACGCCGACGAACGCACACAAAGCATGTTACAAGCAAGCATCGGTACAACATAAACATCGTCAAACCCGTTAGGTAGAACTTTGCTTCAAGTCTCACCAATGGTGATGATATGCAATCCTGCGCAATAGGCTGTCATGTTCGAGAGGAGAAAAGAACTTCAGTAAGTACACGCCCACCGGAAGGAATCGATTGACTTTTTTCCCGTCCCTCCCTGCCGTCGTCCAGGAAGTCACAAGCCCGTGACAATCAGTTAAGGCAATTAAGGCGTGTATTTGAGGTCCTGGAATCAAGAAAGAAACGAAAAGAGAGCTGACCATAGACAAAAAATGCCTTAAAAGCAAGACACAAACTTACGACCAGTGCTATAAAAACGCCATCATGCCGATGTTTATCCCAACATGGTTGGGGTACGTAATATGAAGCACACACACATACACCGGGGTGAATCATCACCGGACACCTCGCATGCTCCGTAAACATCCCATTTACACCAGAACAATACACCACTTGACATGTCATGTCAGGTACCGATGGTAAATCTAGCACATTCCGTCCGGTCCACGTGTCACCGCGCTCACGTTTAGGATCACGAGCACGCCGAGCACATAGAAGGCCACGAAGAACCATCGGTTCCACTTGTTGTCGCCGCTAGCTTTGACGAAGACATCCACAAACACGAACCTAACGACGAGAGTTGAACGACAACAAGGTGAGCAGAGTAGTGCCGAAGACCACAACAATCACACGAGGGTCAACTTTCGGGTTGCGTTTGTTCAGGAGCATCACCGACACGAACAACTTGGACTACGCGAACCTGCACACGACGGTACAACAATCCGAGGACAAACACAACAAAGGAGGGAGGCCTGCATCTCAGCTAAGGGCGGCAGGACACATTCGTTGATCCTGATTGTGATGTTTCGTTGTGTATTGTACGTTAGTTAGACGATACGATCACACGTCGTAGTCCGGATGAAAAGGCAAAGCTTGAGCAACACGAGAGAGAGAGAGATTTGTACCATGCTACGTAAAGGTGGACATCATGTGAAACACGTTTCCAGGCCACCCGTCTACCTCGATGCACCATCATCGCCATAAATATGCCGTGGTCAGCCATATATAGTGCAGAGGAACAAACGAGGCCTACCCATGTAAACAACTAAACAATACCAGTCTTATCTCGACGCTTGGTACGAAACAATTTCCTGTAGCAAAACAACCCCGAAGTTTCTGTGCTGCACACGTCAAAATAGTGCTGAAAAGGCGTCTCGCGTTTCCGAGCAACTGTTGAACTTCGTATGCATACAATGGCGTTCACTCACCAGTTGTTCAAAACCAGAAGGCAGAAGAGAGTCCCCATCCCGCTCGGCATGTCTGAAGCAATAGGCGGTGTCATGTGCCATCCAGCGGCGCACAGATAGATCCAGGACAGCACATTTTCAAAAGCAGAAACGTCGGGAATCAGTAGTCACGAACGGAATTTACTGATTTTCTTATGGTGCCGTCAACAATATGGGCGTGTGCTCGTCAAAACATAGTTGGAAAAGCGCACATCGGGTCAACCATGATTGAATCCTTCCGTTGTTTCGTTCGTAGAATCCGACCCAACTCAGCGAAGAGTCTTGCAGTATATGAAGCAGTACAGTATACAATACACGGTTCGACGGAGATGTTGGCGATGGAAAGAGGATCGCTCAACTATCCCGGCGATGAACTGCTCGCTGTGGCCTGGGGTGCAGCTCGTCAGCCTCACCAGAGAAGGCGAGACCGCTCACCAGGGGGTGCATGGCCGCCGACCGTACCGGTATGATCCACACTTGATCGATCGTTCACCTCCACACGTGTCACACTGCATGCCAAATTGGTCTATATTCCCCCTCAACATGTCTTCCTGCATACCTTTTCTTGTTTCGATTTCAACACATCTTTGTTTTCTCGTTAGCTCCGACATGTTCCAGAACCTCAAAACACGACATGCCGTTCGTTGTAGTCGGTCATGGTTCGCTAATTCCCGTGACCGCCACCACCCCACCCACGATGACCGAGAGCCTTTTTCTAATGCTCCTTACCGTTAAAGTTGAAAGCCCAGTAGTTGGACTGTCCGTATGACGTATCCTGAACAACAAGCAGAGGGAGTCCATACAGCGCACGCGGTACATAGCACGAGCGGGGAACAGATTAGCAGCACCAACAGCAGGCAAATGTCCAGACCAAAACATACGCTTCCTTACAGTCGAAGATGGGCACCAACAAAATGCAACCAAAGCAACAACCGCAGAAACAACTACCACGTTTTTGTGGTGGTTTTTACCAATCGTTTGCTTTACAACCTTGGAGTGTCGACGTCCGTCGCCGCGGAGATGCCGAATCATGATGCTCATCGCAAGAGCAGCGTCAGTGATCGGGGCTGTTGCAGCACAAGACCCACGCCTCACAAAACGCCGCAAGACCCATCTTGAAGCAGCGAAAAACACACCACACCAACAACAAACGGGAGGGTACACCTTTGCATTTCCTCGGCTCATTGTTACAGAGAGCAATCCGACGCACAGCGCCAAAAGGCCTTGATGGGTCCATACGCTTAAGAAGGGGGGTGATTGCAGGGAGAGCACCGGCGGCCCACGGCTTGCGCATTCCTTGATGCAATCATCACCACGCGCGTTTGCAAAACCAAAAGGTGGGGGTACGTAGACAGGGGGGCTTGCTTCCGAGTCGTCGGCCAACCTTGAGGTGCTCGTTGGTTGGGCTGTCGGGGTCGGAATGAACCAGGCCTCCGAAAAGCTGCACTCCGAGCACGCAGAAGGTGAACCCGCAGACGAAGAGCAGCATCATGAACTGAAACGCCTCCGGTGCTTCGAGACAAGTGTCGGGTGGGCGGAGAGAGGAAGGGGGTTGCAGGTTGTACGAAGAAGAGATGGGGACGGGGTAGGGGTAGCAGGTGTCATCGGAGTGATGCCAACGAGGAATGAAATCGCCATAAGCGAGCATCCGATTTTGTGCCAGCACATGGCAATGTCTACGAGCATCACCTCGGGTACATGTAACTGTTATCGTCACCAATAACATCTCGCGGGAAGCCGCGCATGTACCAAACTCCGCAACTCGTTCATAAATACACATACCATTCCAAACTCTCGAGAAACGATACGTGCGGAATGCCATGCCAACGCTCTGAGTGAAAGCGAAGTGTCAAGTCTGGGAATAAAAACGTCGCAAGACGGCCTGAACAAATCGTACCAAGGTGCTTGAATGTCATTTTGGTGACTCAAATGCTTGTGTATTTTTCTTCCGTAGCCCAACACGGCAACTAGGAGACTCAGTCTTAGCGATCCAGATGAGGAGTAACGTACCGATGTTGCCGAACGTAGTCATGACGATCCTCATCTCAGGCACAGCCACCATCAGGCGGGCGACTCGCAGCAGTCGGAAGGTGACGAAGTAGACCACCACGTTTTGTAGGTTGAGAGTCGTAGAGATGGTCGTGGTCTTGAGCAGCTGTTGGTGTTGTGGTGTTGTGGTGCAGTGAAAGATTGGCAACACGGCGAACATGCAGCACATAAACTTTCGTCGCTTCAACATATCTTGCTACTGCGCAAGAGAAACACGTGTTCCTTCAAGCGCCCCTCATCTCACCCGTGTAACAACTTGTAATAATATCACAATAGAGGTTGAAGAACACCAAAACAAACACCACAATCAAATATTTCAACAATAACCCGCCCATGCTAAATGAAACCCGCATCCGACTGTCCTACTAAGCGCTCTTCACACGTCGAAACGCCACCCACGTACAATATCTTGTATTATTTTCGATCTCTGGAGAGAAGGGCAAAACTGCCGCTAACTCACGAGTTCAGTGAAAACACCTCCGAGGGTGATGACCCCGTCGAACCGGTTGCGATTCTTGGACCAGTATCCTATTTCATCAACGCATCCCCAAAAGAACGAACGCCCATGCAGCGCGGCACAAGGGAGAAGAATTGGCAGGCATGTACAACCGGTGGGGCTGGTAGTTGGACCGCGGTCGCGCCGGTAACTGTGGATTCCGTTCGTACGAAAGTGTCCTCGCACAGGCCGTCCATGCCATCTGCGTTAGGATTCCAGGTTCTTCATGCGATGCAACACGAGTGCAGCATTGTCTGGGAAGAAATATTGGTCAGGCTTTATTCTAACCATGTATCGTACGCCGTCCCACGGGCAAAACAAAACATGCTTTGTATGGGCCGTGTACGGGGACTTCCTACCAAACGCCGGGACCGTCACGGCGAAGCCCTTAGCACCCAGCGCGACACAACGCATACCCAAGCAGTTTCCCTTCGTATCTTGAAAAACAAGAAACCTCATCACCATCAACCATCGATAGAATGGCGACTTAGTAGCTCACCGTTCCAGCCAAACACGAGAATCTTGAGGGTCATTTCCACCACGTACACCCAGCCGAGCAGAGAGTTGAGTCCGTGATCCGTCCCCTCCGCTTGTAGCCAGGCGTTCTGGTTCTCCAACATAAATAGAAAAAACCGCAAGGTAGAAAGAACAAGAGGAAGGCCCTCGACAGTTCAGAACGATTTTCATGTTGAACACGTTCCAACGACCACATTTTTATCAAAGGAGAAGTTTCGGGTGAGTCAAAGATCGCTCTCGTTGTCCTTATGTAGAGTAGACAGAACAAGGAAACACACAGTAGCTGGAAGCCAAGAAACGAAAGAAAACAATGTTTAGTTAGGGTAGGGGTTGTCAAATGTGATAAATAGTACTCAGATTAGATTTTCCAGGTCAGTTCTGTTATAGCCTAGCCAAAACACCAGGCACAACGCTAATATTTGGAGCTGCTGTGTCAAAGAATGATATCGAGGCATTGAACATTTTTCAGCGCTCCGTTTGCACTTAGAAATCAGTTGGAGGGTCCATAGATAAGGGCACGCTTGACGAAAAATGCAATCGAATCATGGAGCATTTCGATCAGTCGCAGCCAAAAGCTTCACGTCGGCCAACACATGTGTGGATTTTATAGGGCCCAGTATGTCAAGGGCATCACGTAAATATGTCGTGGGGCGTTTGAGTCGACGTGAGCAGAACCTTCCTGAGACAGAACGCCACCAACATGGAATGCTGGAACCTTCACCGCTCACACTTTCGAAACGATACTCAAGAAGGACATGCAACATAAGAAGCATATGCCAAAGAACGTTTTCAAGGTGCAAAATTTTTACTTGTAACAACTTCATCGAAGCAATGCTTTGATCCAGCCGGACTTGTGGGGTGCGACAATACCCCCTGGCAGTCGTTTCTCGTCGGTGGAGCTCGAACGGAATACAGAGGTGCCGAGTGCAAGAACAGGTTGCTGAGGGTGGGGATGACGGTTAAAACATCAGCAAGCCCCGAAAACAAGGGCAATATCGGCCATACAACATTGTAGCAGCTTACCTTTTCGGAGATGCCGCCGTCTCGTTGGACAGCCTCTCCCGAAAGTGCTTCGGCAGATTCCACCAGCAGAAGAAGGGCGTTCAGCATGAGCACCGCGTCTACGCCGTACTCGAACCACGGGTGCTTAATGATCTTGCACAGCCGCTGCCAGAAGCTGCTGTTGTACAAATCTGAGATTGGTGTCGTCGTGGAGAAGCATGTTGCCGTGGGGCAGTTTTGGGACAGTTTTCAACAGGAAGATAACGCGCAGCGGACACGCAATTGAGTCAAGAAAATAGACCAGGTGAGAGAGACGATGGAGATTGTTGGGGGCGGTATTCAGAGTCAAGCAAAGGGAGCTAAAACTAGAACCTTCGCAGCCCGGGCGTTCAAGCTGCCGTGGGACAATGGCTAGCCTTGCGCCATTTTTCAAGCGAAACGCGGCGAGATGGCTTCATGCCGAATATTGGAAGGACAGAAGACCCAAAAGATCCCAGGTTGCAAATATCATTTCGATTTTCATGCAATGAAACTCGTCAGCCACAGCTTCAATTGCCGGCGGGGGGGAGGCTTGACAAGAGGCCAATGGTACGCGCAGAGCGGAGCTCGAAGGGGCCGGCGTGAATGGGTGCAGCAAGTACACAATAAATTTATGTGCCTGGAGTCCACTTCAAAAATAGCGTCTTGCGCTTCATATTCTGGCGCATACCATTGCCTGTGAGTTGGATTGAGATGTGCGCAGCGATAAGTGAACTGTCATAGAACGACGCCAGGACAAGAAAACCGCTAGAGAATCGTGGAGGGAGACGAGAAGCCCCCGTGAAGAGAGGCCTAACGGTTCACGCCACTACGACGAAAAACACACCCACATTTGTCTTCGACTCCAGCAGGCACTAATCTGCGGGGCAAGAAGCACGACAAGTCAGGCAGTTTTTCCTGCAGGTTTCAACTCCTCTGTCGCCTACTGCCCCCGTCTGTGATTACCAACTGTATAGGCATCAAGAGTAGAATCGCCTCGTTGCCTCCCACCTACACATACATTTGGTAACTTTTTGAAAGCGTAAACACGGTACCGCAAGCTCGTGTCTAGGAGATAGTTATGGATCATCGATGGATCGCTAGGCGATGGTTTTTCAAAGATGAATGAACCTTCTCCCGCATCGTTACCTGGGAGCCATGTCTCGACGAACGTCTTTGGAGAAAATTTCTCTAACCGTAACTGGAGAAGCGTGATGACAGCATGGAACTCGTTCTGCGATTCATCACGAACCACAGCAGCAACAGCAGCAGCAGCAGCAGCAGCAGACGACCACGGCGGAGCGGGGGGTAACTGAGTACGCATGTCTTCTTCAAGAGCGCGCCTTTGGCACTGCGTCTATCGCGCGATTCATAACGGGAAGCTTCTCCCCTTTCCTCTGCATCGCTCTGATTTCTTCTATCGCGCCATTCTCCGCGCCGAGCTAATGTACAGCTGCCAGCCCTGTGTTTCCGTTCCTTACCTTGCTGATGCCACAATCTCCGTCGTCGTCCATCAACTGTCGTCCCAGAGCCCCACCATCATTATCCACGGACGGCATCATCATCACCCCCAGCACCGCCGACGCCGCCAAAGAATCACCGCCGTGCCATCAGGCCGCGTCGATGCGCCGAAACAGCGCCGAGAACACCGAACCGTGTGTGCTGTCAATACACACATCTGTGTTTCCCCTCCCGCGAAGGCTGTATGCACTCCCTTCTTGCCGAGTTCCATGCACTCCTATCCTTGAGAGACAGCAGAACAGCTTCCCTCGTCCACAATGACTGCGGGTGGAGCCCTTACGAATGAGCCTTCGGTGTTGTACGCAACGTCTCCTGCTGAAATTCTAGAGACGGAAAGATCGAGCAACAACGCGGTAGAGTGTTACTCTCCCTGCTTCCCAAGGGTTGCCTTTAACTTTCTCACCTGAACCAGCAGCGTTCTCTGATCGGCCGCCAGCCTGTCCAACTCCGCCGGCCCTGCTCCCAGGCATACGTTGACCTCGGTCAGGAGCTCCTCCATCACGCTGGTGCTCAATTTGCTTTCGCCGCTTGGTTTTTGCGCAATAAACACAAAGGGGATGAATACAATAGCAAAGACATGTTCTCACAAATAGTTTCGCATAGAACAAAACGCGCACCACAAGACTAAGAAGGAACTTAGTGAGGGATATCTACATCATCAATAGCAAGGATAGTAATCTAACCTGCACGCAACCTGATGCGGCTCGAACAGGGTATCACGCGAAGAAAAGAGAGCGACAATAAACAAAACGAAAGCAGGCAAGAGCTCCTTAAACTCGTCGCTCTTTCGTCCGTGTCAAAATTTCAGCCGGCCGTAGCGACTAGTCCCAACATCCGAAGGCATGTCGCAAGCGTTCCAACTGCCACAACACAGCAAGAGCCAAAGCTCTCCCGCCCTTTTCACCAAGGAAACCACAACGCAGGGAGAGCTTTACAGTACGTCGTGTTGTGGGCCGCAACTTGGTTTGGTTGTTTTTGGGCGAATCAACCCGCACCATCGATCTGTGTAGGAGTGTTCCATGTCATGACCGCGACGAACACCATACAGTTTTCTTCTCCAACACGCGCCGGCACATTCCCTAGAACGGTATTACCGTCGCCCATGTAATCGCAAGCTAGGGGGGGCACGAGACAAAGCGATATCAAAATACACACGCGGGTGTTCCCGTCCCCACTCACTCCGCGGCGAGACGGTCGAACGCTGCGGCGCAGTTCTTGTCCCGCATGTGCAGCATCTTATCCAGCAGCTCCTGGTGCCCGTGGGAGTACTTGTCGTACGTCGACGCCAGCAGGAAGTTCATGAGGACGAAGACGCCCAAGACCACGGCGGGGAAGAAGAGAAGGCCGGCGGCGCGGTTGCGGGTGTAGGCCGGCACCAGAACGTCCGGGAAGTTGGCGGTAGTGAGCATCACGAGCAGGTTCCAGCACGCGTCCTGCCTCCCAGCAAGAAGAGAAAGAGGGACAAGAGAGAGGCTTCAAGCATATCCCACATTTTGACAATATGGGCAGAAGTGGTACATGTGCAACTTTAACTTTCTCACCACAGGGGGTCATGATCATACCCAAGTGCAACTTCCATGCCCCCAAACTACGACTTGTCAACGAGCGACAACCCACCAAAAGAGTGAGGGCTTTAGCCTTAGCCTGGCACATTGACCAGCAAGAAATGACAATAAGCTCACCAACCAGAGTGTAAGCACTCTTGAGGTCTCTTCAGCGCCAGCCTAGGCTATCGACACAATCCAGGTTTGGCAGGATGTTTCGAGAACACGGCAACATATGAAAATCATCACGGACTTCACGGAGCTCAAGAAGATGCGAAAGACGATACTAACCAGGCACCGGGACGATTGCCGGCATCTCAACGCCTCAACACCAATTACGCGGACACAAACCAAAATGGTACATTGGGCGAAACGGTACGCTTGATGAAACGTAACTTGGATGAAACCACATGTTTGACGAAACGGCTATCAGAAATTCTCGACAATCGACTACCCATCATCAGTTCGGGCCGTTGGATCTAGGGCGACGATCATTGTCGCTTATCTTGTCTCCTGCAGGGCGTGCGTTGATTGAAGACTTGCTCACTTCTTCAAAGAAACTCCCCACTGCTCGACACGCACCACACTCACCACGAAGTTTGGGAAGTAAACCGATCGTTCTTCTCCCGCAAAGGTGACATTTCCTGACACACAAACACGCAGCAGATGCGTGACAAAAATCCACACAGAATCATTGAACAATTGAGACCGGGGGTACAGAGAATAAATGCACGTGAGAGAGTACGGGGGAAAGAGACGGGGAAGACAAAGAATAGTTCGGGGAAGAGAAGGCAACACGCACGGAGAGAGAAGGCCATCCTGGGGTTGAAGGGGATACAAACCTCCGCGAAAAACGGTGCTGAAAAGCTAAAGGGCGAGAAACAGAATGGCGTCATATCCAACAGGGCAAACCAGCGGCACACACAAAAAAACGAAGCACATTCTTGGAGTTCGTGTTGGTGTACCGCGAAGAGAGGGGGAGGGGTGGTAAGCACCGACTTTCTTGCGTCTACTCACCGAACCAAGCGAAGAATCCAAGGAACATAGCGACGACCGACAAGATTGACGCGAACTCGGTCAAGATTTTCCCGAACAGCTTCATCTGGGCCATCATGTCGGTGGAGTACCCGATCAGCAGAAGCGCACGCATGTCTTGGGAACAAAAATCACGACAAAAAACGCGAATAACATCCAAAACGTTGACTTTTCGTGGCGACAAACGTGAAATCATGAGAGTAATTTCCGTCCGAACAGATTCGAAGGCATCACGCAAAGCAAGATCTACCATTTTGAGTTCGTGGATACCAAGTTTTGTGGGGTTTTCCAGAGATGTGACACAGGCAGAGTGAACTGAAAGATCATCCTGCAATTAATTGTTTTTGTAGGCTCGGTGTTGATGCCAATATAGTAGAAACTCCTGGATGACAATTTTGGAGCACGATCAGAACAAAAGCATGACACTGGATTACCCACGTTGTATCCTTCCCTCCCTCCCTCCCTCCCTCGACACGTCCATCTCTCTCTATCGACGTATTGACATACAATAATCTGGTTGCTTGAGGGATAGGGGCAGCCAGGTGTCAGCTATCGTTTCAGTACGGACATTGAGGATCAACTAGAAGAGAAAAACCATCCGCTTGGAGGTCACAGGAATGTTTACGGCAAGGAAAATGTATGTCTACTGTACCTGGGAGAGAACGCGTAACCGAAGCAACATTTCTTTCACAGTGTGAACTCTTGTTCACGCGGAACCTGACCCCCAACCCTAGAATTTCAGAGAAAGCTGTGTGACAAGATCTACTGTCGCACCCAAGAGCTGCTGTCGCTACACCCCCGCCCATCGTTGTTGCCCCGCCCACCAATGGTCGCTACAATGGCGAATGTCTAGCACTTTTACATTGTTCCCTCACATGGAGCGATGCGAATGTGCGGATGTCCGTGCACCACCGCAACCAGCAGATCAAGGGCGAACAAGAACAGCACCAAATCCAGCAGCACGAAGGAGAGCATCTTGGCCCTAACTCATGGCGCATCGCAAGGTGAGGCGAACACACAACAACAACGACGACCAAATGACGCCAAAGGGCGGACAGACGGTCAGGTGGCAAGAGAAGAAGGACAGGGATATCACGCTGTGCCGCCAAGGGGCACTTGCACTGTTGCACAGCTGTACACGAAACTATCATGCCCCACAAGTTGGGGCCGTGTATGCAGTAAAATGTAAAATGATTGTGTTCCGCATGTTCTGCCGCCGCCACACCAGGGTTTATCTAGAGCCCGTCCAAAGCGAACGAAGCACGATACTTTCTGGCCTCAACAGAGTGCTCTCATGCCAAAGCAACGAATACGGCCTCAACAACAGGAGGAACACCATCTGTGGACGACGACGAAGAAAGGGAGACATCATGACAGGCGAAAGTAAATGGCGGGGAGGGAGGGGGAAACCCAAATTACTCTGGTTCCTGACCCCCTTGTACACAGGAAGGGCTCGGAACTGGTACTACGATTCTACGGTATCACCGAAGTCATGCGCCTAAGTTCGGTTGCCGACCGACAAAATCTGTCTACCTGGCAAGGTCCTACCCCCGATCAACTAGACGGCCGCTTCATGTATGGATCGTCGTAGGAACCACCCGGCCTGGAGCAGAATAGAATCAGAACACGAACCTCTCGCTCGTTGCCCTTTCCCCGACTTTTGGTACATGGGCATTACGATATGCCGCGCAAAGATATCCCTCCGCCCGTAATAACACGTCACACAAAACATTCGACGCAGAAAGCTCCAAGGTCCGCATGACCACAAAAAAACTGGTTGCATTACCGAACGATGGGTGCTGGGATCGCTCTCCATGCATATCTCTCATCGACAAGATCTCGGCTTTCCATATCCGCCAGAATCTACACACCAGGCAAAACCAAACATTTGGTGGCATGACTTGGACCCATTCAAACATGTGTGGTCTATCTTGGAAGAACGGCTACACACATCGCCCCTTTTTTCTTTTTTTGCTGCGGGGGTATCGAATATGGAAGTCGGAAGATGGCCCGGGAGTAGGTTGTATCTTACGCGAGGTACGGTGCCACAAAAAAAACACGTACCGGTATGCGATCGCGTTCACAACCTGGTGAATGAAGAGAGGCAGGAGCAGACATGCCTCGATCAACAGCCCATACCCAAACGGGAGGTAGGGAGGGGGGTGTCCCGTGCCCTGTAGTACGGAACAAACAAACCGGGGGAATATTGCGGCAATGGTGAAGATCGAGAGAGAGACAGACAAAGAGGGGGGACAACACGGGGAGGAGGCAGAGCGATAGATAGGCAGAGGACGAGGAATTGGCACAAAAAGATGAAATAGAACTAACGGGATGCTTGCTGTGGACATTCCACGGCAGGACCACGACTACGTTCTGGGCGGGAAAAAACGATGTACATTATTGAGGATGGGACATGGTGAAAGGGGGAGACCACGTGGCGGGACATTTAAGGACGCCACAACAAACTGAAAAAGAAAAACGAAAACAGGTGACCGGAAATTTGCAATCTATGAACTGGAAGCCTCGTTGCACAACACCCGGAAGACGTGTTTGGGAACACCACATACAAGGCTTGTGAAAATACGAAAATACGGCATATTGCCTGTACAACGGGACTAAACAACATGCTATTTTGGCATCGAACGGAAGAACGCATCCAAACTTCCAGACACGTCCACCGACTCAGCAAACCGCGTGAGTGTCAAAGCTTGCGGTCCTTACTTGGTCGTCGCAGGGAACGTCGGTACTCTCGTTGCACCAGGCAGGAAACTCGAAGAACGTCAACACGATCAACCCGACCACAGCGGCTACCGACACCGGCTTGAGGTGCACGGCCAAGTGGTGGCAGCGCCGTGAAAGGACGGTCGGCAGCGGCTTGGCCCGATAGATGCCTGGACGGGAACGGCGAAAACAATGGAAACGACACCTGTGTCAGAGCCAACAACACCAAAACAACGTCGGGGAAGAAAATAGCACCGTCGCCGGCAAGGGTTCCAACGGGAGAGACAGACAGACAGACAGACAGAGGCAGAGGCAGAGGCAGAGACAGAGACAGAGACGGAGACAGAGACAGGCAGGCAGGCAGACAGATAGGCAGACAGAGAACAGGCACAGCAATGCTTGCGACCTTTCTCTTACTGCAAACCTAGTTGTCGCCTGTTCTCTTCCGCATGTAGGCTAGATCGATCTCGACCAATCACAGAACAGTTGCCACCACCTCACGATCTTGGCAGTTGCAGTATTGCTATTGCGGCAACTTCAGCCATAAAACACAAGAAACTTCTGAGGTATACGATTGCGCCCATATTGACACCTGTCACGTGATCGATTTCGAGTTGCGAGGTTTGCCACTGGGGTAAAAGAACGCCCCGTTCTTTTCTAGGTCGGGGGGGATCCCTACGAGTATTGTGACACCCGGTGGTGCCATGTCCTAACCCCCGAGGTTGCGCCCAAGGCTAAGGTTGAGGTGGGTTGAGGTTGGGAAGCGACCGGATGTTTGGTCCGGGCAGTCGGACAACCTGGATAGGTAGAAAAGCAACGCCGTGACATCGTCTGGCCAGTGTGCGTCGATCACGCAATGGGTGCGGACAGTAGTGGAAACTGTCGACAGTTTCCATTTCTGTCGACAGTCGCCAAGCTTGTACCAGTGTCGCCTTTCGAATCGTATGATTGCGATAGCCGTGGAATGTTGAGGCGGGGGCATGAATCACTTTCTTGGAGGGTTTTTACAGCCCATATCCCGCCATGGACGCGAAATGCTGCGACAAGCGCGAGCTTCAGAAATAGGTGGCGATGGGTCCGGGGAGGACGATGGCCAGGATTTTGCGGCGGGGGAACGGGCTTGGGAGGTGGGGGCCAGGCAAGCAACAAGGAGGAAGACGTGGAAGACGCCGGTTCCAGCGACGAAGACGATGTCGGCAAGTCTTGTTTTCACCATCGCCTTTATGTTGTAGTTCTTGGTGGTGGTGTTGTGGCTTTCAAGCAGGCCTGGCTTCGATCAGCGTCTGTAGGGGTGCGGCATTGACAAATCTCGGCGTGGATTGCGATGCCTCTTAATCTATGGTCATATGATGAGCTTGGAACTTCAGCATGAAGACGACAGCATGAGCCCGCATGACCAGATCCACGGCGTGGAGACCCCGGACGGCTTCCGTATTCAAGCGTCTATATCCGTTGTTCTTGACAGCGTATGGCTTCCGCGTGGAGAAAACGAAAGGACGGGCATCGGTTGGTTTCGTGGGCTAATCACTCGGTAGGGAAACCCGCCACGACTGCCTTGTCAAGCCCGAGCGTGACCAGAGTACGTGCGACAGGAATCTACAGAAAAAAACTGTACAGCGTGGAGAAAATATCGTGGGGTTGGCTCAAGTCGAAAGTGGAAGGTGCGGCCACCGGAGCTGTAGCTACCAAGAGATCGGGGGAGGGGAACATCGCTCCCCGTCGCCCGTGTGAGCGTGTGAACCAAGCAAGTTGACGATTGCTCCATGATACCGTGCGTTTCTAGCGCTAAGCATTCATCGGCGTACCGCCGTGGTAGGGTAATGCTGACAGCGGAGATAGTGGAGGGCTTGCTACTTCGAAGTACTTAGCGAAGCCGGTCGTCCTCTCACATCCAGGATAGGGGCTATTGTACCTCTGGTGCGAACGCAAGCCATGAACATGTGCCAAACTTCTTACACATTACTGGTTGTATGACAGCAGTGGCTAAAAAAAAAAACTGTTACACAAGTATGTACCGGCTGTATGTTGTGGTGACGCATCTACATATAAACTAGACGAGTCTACTACACTTCCGATGTGTTACTTCTGCGGCGGTTATTTGGCCGGTGACCCGTATTCCTTGCTGTACTTGTACAAGTACAACCTGTAGCCGAACCCAAAGGAAGCATGGAGTGCGAACGCTGTCATGTAGAAGACATGGGGCAGTTGTCACAACCACAACAAGAAGCGGCCAGACATGCTCGGTCGAAAAAACGAACTTGGCTACTGTGAAGGTGCTCGGTTTGGGGCAGCCAGGTGATAGGCCTCGCGCAAAAGGCGCCGTCTGTACTTCATGCATAAGTAGAGCTTTCAGGTGTAGTACACGCTGAGCAGAGATGGGAGAACAGCAACAACAACAACAACATGCGCAAAAAAAGGAGGGTCCAGTAGCAAACGGGTTGTGTGCTTCGTGCTTCGACCGGCCTTCACTCGACTGGAGAACAAAACTAGACCCAAACAAGACCAACAAGGCGAGCTATCGTCCTCGAAGTTGCAGTGGGCAACCAACTCGGAATTGTCTCGACACAAACATAGTCTCAGGTAGGAGTAATAGTAGATCCCCACGCTCAAGTCTTTTGCCACGGTTTGTATACGTGCATGCAATCAGCTAGTCTATGTACTTCAAAGCACATTGCACACGCAATTATCTCTGGTCAAAGAGCGGTACAGAGTACCAAAATAGCAACAACAGCTAACAGCAGTTTATTACTGATGTTATGAATGGACATGCCCTGTGGGCCGAAACTTGCCGTGCCATATGGTAGTGTGCAGAAACAAAACACATACAGATGAGAACAGAACACTTCATCGTGGTTACCTTCCATGGCCTCTAGCACGAGGATAGCAGCATCCTGCACTGCTAGAGAGTGCTTGAACTTGGTCGGGAGCGCCGATTTCTCCATGGCGTGCTGCTGGCTCGCTGCTGCCCTGGCTTGTTGCGGGTTACGGGTCGGTCGCCAGCAGAGGGAAGATCCCGCCTCTGCCCTGCTGCCTGATGCTGCTGCAGGTCGTGGACGTCCCTTTCGTGGTGACTTATGCTCTGTTGCCAAAGGGCAGAAGCCACACACCACCGTGACCTCACTAGTTAGGTTATCTACAGGGACATTCAGGTGGCGCCGGGTCTGGCGTGCGCTCCACGTGCTCGCCAGAAAGACGGAACCGAGGCACAGGGAGCACACCAGCAGAGAAGCAGTTTATTGCCCCGCAGAAATGATGAATTTGCCCAAGGAACAAAAGACGACTGCCTTTACGTACGATTGGATGGTCGCTGTTAACGCGGGATGCCAGTTGTTTTAATTTTTTTGTATGTTATGTATGGAAGTTGCCAACCGTACACTCAACCAAACACACAACACACAAACAAGCCGCACACCCTACCCCACGTTACCCAACCCGAAATTACGGTACAACTGCTGCGTACGTACTGGTATCCGTAGAAGAAGACCGAAACGAAAGCCGGAAACAAACAATTGATACCGTGTGTACTGACTGGTACCACCTCAGATGGAAACGACACAGTTTTTTGTTGTCACGCCATAGCCAAACTTGCATCAAACACAAGACAAGACCACTCACTGCATGGAAACCTGCTACGTACCAGCCTACGTTGCCGTTACCGGTCGGTGTGCTTCCAACCAGCAACAACGGTACCTACACGTACGTACGTACGTGTGGTTCTGTACCGATCGATAGTCAACTAGCGTGCGTGTGAAGAAGACCGTGTTTGTGTGTGGGTTGCCTACACTGGTATCAATACTATCGTACCGGTCGGGGAGATGGTACCGGGGTGCGTGCATACAACTGTATTTTATTGGGAATGGCACCGGTCGGAGAGATCGCGCCGGGGTGCCTTGAAAATCATAAACGAAATGATATAAATGCATTTCCGCACCGGGATCGGAGAGATGGCACCGGTTGGAGAGATGGCACCGGGGTGCGATGAAAAACCCGAGGAAAAAACATTTGAAAAAACGATCGCACCCGGTACCCACTTTCCGACTATTACGGCATTTGATTCAGCGTCGTCGTAGTTGTTAGTAGTTCCCAAGATTTGTTGTCCGTGCTGTATAGACAAATAAATGGGTCTGGCTTTATTTACCACTCTGTCTGGCACACACAGTCGGCGGATTACGAACCATCATCATGTTTGGTTGTAAGCAGTATCGGAAATAAACCTGTTACATCAGTGTTTGCGATGTTGCAATGTTGCAATGTCTGGTTCGAAACCCCCCGCAGCGATGATGATGTGATGAACGGATCTATCTTCGCTACAACATCAAACAACGGGGACGAAGGGCGGGGGGCGGGCGGGGCTTGTGCACCACACCAGTTGCTGCGCACTCTGTGTGCGAGCCCCCATTCTCCCTCGACAAACGAAATCGGGGGGTTCCACCAAACAAACAAAATGAAGAGGCTGGCTTCAGTGTGAGATCAATCCTTACTTAAGAGCGGGGCACAGAGGCTCCACGGCAGCAGCAGTATTATGTATGACAATCGACTTAGATTCGTTTTCGCACCCCTCGATAGATTGGTGTTCTTCTTAACGTGGCCGATTTCGTTTGGGTCCGCATCCCAAACCGCTTGTTCCAATTAAAATTATGAAACGAACAAGATATTCTTACCACTCTCGATCACCTCCTCCTAGTCCAACGCACAACCAATCAATCCAGCCGGCGCCGAAAATTGAATTCCGGCGTATTACAGGCCTCCATTAGTACAAAAAGCAAAACATGCGTATCTACTGTACTCTAGACTACTTGTTTTTTCAGCTGAACAAAAACTACACGATACCTTCTACCACACAATACCTTTACGATATATAGCACGACATATGTTGAACAGCAGTCAAGTCATATTTTTCACAAGGTAAGAGCTCCATGCTAGCGCAAGCAAAATGAAGCTCTCGTCCAAGCCAGCAACACCTGTGGAAAGGCGAGGGGCACACACAGAAGTCCATTCTATATTACCATGTAAGTGCTCTACGCTAGCATAGGCAAAGTGAAGCTCCTCAAGAGATGACAGGCACACAGCTACTTATATTTTACGCACGCAACTGCTCCACGTTAGCGCAGGCAAAGTGAAGCTAGCTCTCATTCAAGCGAACAACACATGGAAAGAACACAAGACAACGAAGACATCCAGACGGTAGGTGTTGAAACAGAATATATACCCGACCACAAGAAGAGCGGACCGATCGCTACGAGAAAGAACGAGGAAGAAGAAGTGAAAAACGGCACTCCCTCCTCCCACGTGCGCTCCCCCAAACGTTGACGAAAGCCAAGCTATTTATTCCCCGCAATCGGCGCGATGTTTCGGGGCGACGTAGGCTGCATCATGTGGGCTCTAACGAGTGATGTTCTCGTCAACGAACACCTCCAGGCAACGGTAAACAAACGACAGACAATGTGTGCGTACCCTCTTCCACCCCCACCCCCCCTCGCCGAACACTGACACTCAATGTGAATAGCACGGTTGTATACTGTATCTGTTTACAACAAGATATAACCATCCAGCCAAATATGGTAAAGCACGAAACATAAATGTGTCAGGACGTGAATTGAAACATATGGTCATCACGACGTTATTAAAGAAATAGCAAACCGCCTAGATATCAGAGACGCCTGCTAAATACCAAGACTCAACTACGAGCTCTCCCCCTCATCACCCAGTATCGTAAACCGGTACACAAATAAGGCGCTCGGCCTTCTGCATCGTGGCCAGCACCACCACTGAGCAGCCGGCCTACTCTCGACCTCCTCGCTGAAATCGCATCCCAGCCGGGTCTCGTACAATTGCTGGACACGCGGGATTCGTCCCAAATAAATCTGAAACATGCTGCAAACATGATAAATTACTTTTAACTTCATCCGTAAACCAATCGGTCAACAGCTCCCCACCCCTTCCCCCGCCCTTGGCCCCAACCCCAAAAATGTGCCCCTCCTCTCGTTCTACTTGACAAGCGCCTCAACCGCTCTCGGATGCCGAACTCCACCTCCTTACCAAGGGCAAACAATTACTGCATGTGAGTCTCGTCAGCTTTTAGCGACTGCAGCAGCTTCCATGGAGGTTTGACATCCACAAGGTGTGCGTAAGACCATCGAACCTGGTGCCTGCTGTGGCAACGCCCACCATGAACGAGCGCGAGTCCGTGCCCCAGCCACTCTCGCGCCAATCAACCGTATTCTGGGAAAACTCTGGGTCTATCTCCCCAAATAGAATTCCGCCCGAACTCGGAGCCAATCCTTCCCTCTCCCATCTCAAATTACACCGCCTCAGCGACCCAATACATTTTCCCCATCCTTCACAATTCCTCGCCGCGTGTTCGGATTCAAACACACCCGCAGACACAACACAGCTGTTCGCAAGGGGAAAACGTAGATCGGCAACTAATGCATCCTTCAGGGTGGTCCGAAGGCGCCAAGCATAAAAAATCATGAACTGCCGTGAAGGCTAACTCACAACCCGTATAAATAACAATTAACTTTAGTTGGTGCCTGGTAACACGTAAGGGTGCTTGTGTGTGATATTGCTGGTCGGAACCGGCTATTAAAGACAATGCTGGCCGTAGCTGAAACGTGCACTTCGTTCCTATTCTCAAAAATCGGCTCCTGTAGGCAAAAGCCGCCGTCCGTAAAGACGTTTGGAACAGAAACACAGTTCTACTCGTCGACGCCCAAGAACCCAACTGTTACGAACCCCAAGAAACTAGCCGTTGGAGTCGTTGCCCTCATAGAACGACGCCGGAGATCTCACCGTTGCGGCGGGAGCGCCCCGCTGGTTGTCGTTGCCGTCGAAGCTGCTGGAGCACCACGAGGCCGCGCTGAAGGCCGACCACGCTGCCGCGCTGTACCTGGACCGATTAGTCGCGGAAGAAGAAGTGCGCCTTTCTAGGGGGGGTCTCTTGCAAGTCTCTGCCGCGTGCGCCCCGACATCGTTCGTGGTCGCCGCAGAAGCAGCCGAAGCGGGGGCGTCGGGTGCCTCGGGGTGCGAACATGTCCCTTGAAGCCCGACCTCCCTCCACAGAAAAGAAGAGGGGGGCCTGCCCCCAGAGGCTGCCGTAGCTGAAGCTGCCGTGATAAGTGTTTCCGACTCCGTTTCGGTGACCTTCTTCGCTCGTTTCTTGTGGTGCCAATTCCGCCTGGATCCCGATCCCGTCCGTCTGGCCTCCTTTTTCTCCGCTCTGACTTTCGCAGCTGACGGCGATGAAGCCAGGGTCCGCGCGGACAGCCGTGCGTGTCGCTTACCGCCGGACGGGGGGCTCGCACGACTCGAGGCGTTCAACGGAAGGGGCCAAACAACCGTGTGCGCAGCGGCTGCGGCTGCGGCTGCGGCCGCAATCCTGACGCCGTCGGGAGTCTCGGTCGCCATCTTCTTGTGCGCCTCGGCGTGTCTCTCCGGACTGCTGGACGACGTCGTTTCGGACGAAACGGCGGAAAAGGACCCACTTGAAGCGTCGGTGGCTAGCGCTACTTTCATCAGGCGGCTGCTTGCCCAGTTGTTGGTCGACCGGAGAGGCCGCTGAAGTTTTGTCAGCCCCGGCTGCTGATGCCACTTCCAGGGGGCAGCGGTCACGACGGCGTCCGGAATTCCTAGCCGGGAGGTGGCGACGGCGGCGCCGGGTTCGCGATCGTCGCCTGCTAGCTCAGGCGCTGCGGCCGGCATCGTCGAAATCGAGCTGCACCTGCTTGGTATCCTATCCGCAGCAGTGCCCCCCGCAGCAGCAGTTCCACCACCACCAGTCGTGAGACTAGCAGTTGACGCAGACCGGACAGCACTAGTCGATTCATCATGTTTGGCACCAGCAGCACGAGCAGACATCGATCGAGGAGGCATACTGCGGGCGATGGCAATGCCGGTATTGACCACTGCTCCATCCGCGTTGCCCAAGGCTGTTCCGCTCGAAGAGGATCCGGGCGTCCTCCGCATATTCTTGGTTGTACGGCTACTCTCGAAAACAAACGGCATCCCGTTTTTTCCCGTTTCGTTTGATGGCACACAGCAGAACCGCATCAGCGGCAGCGGCAGACATGGAGCGAGAGATGGAAAAGTCACTTGGAAGGGGGACGAGTGGGGCGTACAGCATACCAGGAATACACCATCAAAAGCGATTTTTTCGGATAACGACAACAACAGGACGAGCAAACAAGGTGGTGGCACTGCCGGATGCCAGCGGGCACAACAGTGCTGGACTCTACCAAGATGGCAAGTAGCGAGACGAGCGCCAACACATTGGTATAGCAGCATTTCGGGGGCGTGACGAGCGAAACATGGCGGTTGTCCGTTCGTTCGGAGGACGAAAACGGAAAAGATCGCGTGCCGGCGCATGGCACCGAGGACGACCAATGGGCCCCTTCTCTCGCTGTCCCCCAGCCTCTTCTCTACCAGCCATGGTCCCCCGTGTCCGGTTTGACCAAATTCCAACCAAGTCGCAGGTATCGTCTGTCCTCTTTGGATGCAACCGCAGCATTTCACTTCTATGCCCTACATCACGGACGAGCTCCGGCAGACCCTAGCTCTACCTCCAGCCAGCGTCCTCACCTCGCGAAGTAGAGCGCTCCAACTGGCCTGCCGTACCGTCCAGACCCTGATCCTTTCTCCACGGCACCTCTGGCACGCGCAGTGTACGGAGTTCCCCTCGACGAAGAGGGTGATACTTCAGCCACGCCTGGCGTTCTAGCCGATGCAATCGAGCTGGGCGATGGCCCGGGCCCCACGGACGGAGTCCCGGTCAATGGAGGCGAGCTGGGCGATGGCCCGGCGACCACAGAGGGAGTCCGAGACGGTGGGGGCGAGCTAGGCGAAGGAGCAGCAGCCGTAAATGGAGTTCCACTTGCCGGAAGCAGGCTGGACAGGGGCCCAGCAGCCGCAGAGGGAGTTCCACTCGACAGAGGCAGTATCGTAGAGGGCGCAGCAGGTGCAGCGGGGGCTTCACTCTTCGGAGGCAAGTTCGACGAGGGTACGGCGGGCGGCGGGGATTGACCACGCGAATTGGAACTAGACCGGGAGAGGGAACCGTGACCACTGCTCTCAGGGGACATGTCCACAACTGGCGGCAGCCTCCTGATGGGTCCCGAGCTGTAGCGCCGCTGGAGGGACGAAGCACGAAAGGAAGAAAATGAGGGCGTGGATGATGTCACCCCGATTGAGTGAGGGCGGGGGAGCCGACCTCCAACGTTGCTGCTGCTCCCGTATCCGCTCCCTCCCAGCCCTCCGATGTCTCCGCGGGCGCTGCGTCCTTCAGCGTATCCCCTGCCATCGGCGCTGATACTGCTTTCAGACCGCCTGGACGACGAAAAAACGTGCAGCTTGCGGTGTTGGTTTTGATCTTGGCTGCTGGTGACGATCATCATCATCTTCATGTTGTGGAAGTGTTTGTCTTACACACAAGGAGCTCTCACCAAGTACAGAACACTACACCTCCCGACGTTCCTTAGTGGTCTTCCTCGAGTAGCGGATGACTCCCTTGGTAACCAGGTTAGTCTCCAACACAGTCCGTATCTATTACGATGTACTCGCGCAAGCTTGAGAATAAAATGGGACTGAAACGCTTCCAACAACACAACCAGGCCCACCTTCTGCCACGATATGCGCCCACGCTACGGCTGCCACCAAAAGAGGCGTTGCCACCAAAAGGGACGTTGCCGCCGAAAGAGCCCATCAGGGAGCTAGACGTATTGCCGGAACTCGCCGAGTCAAGCAGCTGAGACAGGCTCTTTGGGCGGGGATGGAAAAATTTCGGCCTCGCGTGGACAGCGTAGAAGATTGCTGCTAGGTTGACGATGTTGTCGAGCACCTCCACGGCGAACACCTGCGCAGAAGAAAACACAACACGGCACGGATTTCGTTCTATCGAGGTTGAAGTAGGTCGGAGACGTCCGCGAAGGCATGAACGTTTCTGCCGTCCTTAGATGACATACATACGAACAGCCTATAATGGCGGTGCTCTGACGAAATCTTCGTTCAACCTTCGAAAATTTATATCAAGCAACGAGGGTCGCCACATAGACGGACTGCCATCACCCGCCAAACTAGAGCTCCGACCCACCAAGACAACTTGTACAAGGTGGTGGTGCACCGGGAAGAGGGCTGGAACGTACAAAAGTGGCAGGTCGAGCAGCACGTCTCTAGCGGAATTAAAGGAGATGATGGAAGATACAACGAGGTTCTCGACCAGTACCGGTTGCCGAATCGAAGGGGGGATAGAATGGCATAGATGGACATACTGTAATGATACACCTTTTCGGATTCGACGCAATATTTCGAAAAACCTCCAGCTGTTCTTTGGCACGGACAAGGATGAAACTCCAGCTGTGAACACAGAACACAAGTGTTCTCCCGTAGATTGGTCCTCACCGGCGTGTTGCCCAGCCCCCCCTTAGCCTTGGCCAACGCAATCCCGGCCACGGTGATTGTCATTACCAGAGACAACCCCTCCGAGATGATGGTTTGCCAGACCTTGTCATGGGCGGTACGTACGTGGAATGGACGACGTTGTTGGAAGCGATGTTTTGCATAGTCCGGGTTAGAACAAGAGTAAGTGCTACCTTCGTACGTCTCCCCTTTCATTTTGTTGGGAGAAAGCAAACCCCAAAACGGTGTTGTAACCTCGTCAAGGACACAAGAGAAAGTCAGAAAGAGGTACAGTAAAATCTACTTGGAGGGTTGGTTCTATGGGCTCCAAGGAAGGACATTCGGTCCAGACCAAACCGGACCACGCGTACTACGACAAAACAAAATCAGATTGCGTGGGTGAACAGGAGTGGGCATCGGTTATGTCGGGGGTTGATAGCAGGAATGTCCCCATCAGGATGTTACCGGAATTTTCGTCTACAACAATGGCTTCAACTGCCATGACGACAACAACAGCAGCAGCAAACGGTCGCGACAACAACCCCGGCCGCACTAACACCACCACAGACACCATCAACACCCCATACAAGCGGCAAGGCTCACGGAGATGTTCAGACACTTTCTGCAGCTTCCAGTAGCTTTGAGACCGCCGGAAAACAGCCGCACACCATTGGCGGCTCCAGCCACCGGCATCCGCAGAGGAACGAGAAACGCCACCGTCTGGTCCATTCCATCAAATCGGACGTGGACAGAAACGGGGCACAGTCAATAGGGCGCAACTCGGGTTGGACGTGAAAGCTGTGCAAGTGAAGAAATACTTGGAGTGCGCCGTACCGACGGTTTGCGACGGGGTGGGAGGGAGATAACAGCGCATCTACGCGTGGCGCGGTCAGGAAAATATACCACCTTCGTATCCATCCTTCGGCACGTCCACACACCACAATATGTACAATACAATACCTGCACATATCTGCACAGGTGTCCCCCCTGACTGCAAACGCAACAAGGGCGTATTGTATATGAAATATGCCACAACAGTTCGTGCTTGCACCATATGCATCATAGGTTTTGGATCATACAGCCTAGTTCAGCTACAAGGATTTCGATTGGATCGACGGACACTGCAATATCCAAGCCCTTTCTTTTTTCCGCAGACTAGGCAAGGCGCATGTGTAACTGCCTCGCTTTTCATCAACTGTGTACCGCCCACTCGCCTGCTAAGCAACCAAAACACGTTGACACACCTTTGACACTCTTGATGCCTGACGTTGTCCATACACATACCCCAACTATGGTCTACCGACTACGACATGCAGTTCAATGAGCACAACCCCGTATCATTAGCGTAGCGACCAGCGTCGCTTCTCTGGCGCCGCGATGGAATCATCCCATCCACTCTTCGCCCCCGACTTGGCGCCCACGCTCTCGAGTCCAAAGGGATGCACCGTTCAGCTACTATAGGCCACCTCTCGGACCCCTGCGGGGTTGTTTTTCCTATCACTTCGTTCTATTTTTTTCATCCGTATGCCACGCGTCGACGCGATGCCTACTGCGATCGTGCGAACAACAACGAAAACATGCCGGGGTGGTATCGTACAGAACAAGACACGAACACAACCACCTCCAACTGTCGCTTCAAGTTCCTTGGTAAAACATGGTAAATAGGAGAGTATTTAGGTCCTGCGAGAATTTTAGCATGCGAAGTGCTGAGCACCGTCCCTTCGAGTACCCGGCCACCAGTAGTCATACTGCACCATCCATCAACCAAGTAAACTACCCGCGAACCCGGACGGGGTCCTCCAATTGGGAGAGGCAACGTCGCAGGGTAGGCAGTACATGGGATGGCTCAAAAAGAGAGATATGATGAGAGAGACAGTCTCACCTGGAACAACTGGTTCAGCAGCTGCGCGACCCACTTCACCGCCAACGCCAAGCCGTCCACGTCGGTCACGCAGCGAGACTCCCCAGCGCATCCCCCGTGCTCCTCCTTTCCCGCCGTTCTCGTTCCCTCTAGCGCCACCAGAGCAACCCAATGGAACACCGTGATGATCACGCCGAGCCAACGGAAGTGCTTCCACCTGCGGCAAGCGGATGGTTGTGTTTTCGTTGTTGACGATGCCGGCTAGGGCTCGAGTCAATGCTAGGGTTTCCCAGAGAGGCAGAGGTCCTACTGAAGACAACTGCAACGATTGGATGTTTAATCTTTTAGTCCACCCACCCTATGTGAACACCACCGAGAGCGGGCGTCGGCTTCATGGGTGATCGGGCTTTCGGTCTCAAAACATGCAATTATAGCGCTTCGGTATGCGTCTGATGTTCTTTAGCCAGAGGCCGTGGCACGGAGAAATTGGCGGGGGGTGCCGCAAGAGTGTACACGTTGCATGCCCTCCTCGCAGACAAACATGTCCGTATGAGTCTTGAACACGGAAGAAACCTTTGCAGTACGAGAGGAGTTTAGCTGCACAGATAAAAACAGCAAGGACCCAAACGACTGAAGCCGTGTTCAGGCGGTAGACAAGCTGGCGCTAGAGAACAGAGTTGACATCGCAGAACAAGAGCCCGCCCACCGGAACCCCAGCGCCCGCACCACCGTGAATCCCCTCTCAAGTCCCGTTTGAGGAATCAGCCGGCTCCAATACAAATACTGTACAATGTAGATGTGATCGGAATGTGACAAGAAAATGTCAAAGCAGTTCGAATTCACCACCGACCCATCTGATCTGAACCTTTAAATTGGAGAGAGAGAGGTGGGTACAGCAGTACACCGTTGCGGTGGAGAGAATGAATAACGTTGACTGATTGGCACCTGGAGTTTGCCCGATGCATCGAATTGGAGAGGATGAAGAGGTGAATGAAGGCCATCGCGTTGCTCGCAGAGAGAGACGCGCCCATGACCGTCGAGAACGCCAAGCAGTCGTAGCCGCCGATGCCGTTGAACCAGTACGCCAGCCCTGTGAAAGCCAGCAGCGGTGCCAGAGGAGAGAAATATCCTTCAGATATATACGTGAAAGAAAGACCATTACCCGTTCGCGAGATAATACCCCTTTCAAGAGGATGTGCGTGTTGAATGAAGTCTTTACACCGAGGTTTTCGAAGAGAGACTGTCGTTTGAACCGGCGTCTAAACTCGCGGATGAAAACAGGGTTGGTTGTTAGGGGGCACCGCGCTGAGGACGTCACGGCGGTGGTGGTAACAGCATATAGTAGGGTTCCTCAATGGGCAGAGATGCGAATACACGTAGGTCGCGCAATACGGTAAGGCGACTGCTGTGCTCAACTGCCATGGCTCCCGTTGACCACCTACTGTAGCGCAATCCACGAAGAAGGCGGCCAAGACAGGGTTGACCACAAAAACACCCTGACGAACAACCCCAATCCAACCACAGCGAAAAAAGACACCGTGTTGTCTCTTGAATACCTACCTGGTAGACTCTCATCGTTTACCTGCTTTATATACGTTTTCCCTCTCTCAACTAGAGAGATTTCTGACCATACCCGTCTGGCAAAGACTATTCAGATTTCCAAAATTTCGAGGAGCATGTCTTTACTCGCCATCGCTGTAAGGGTTCAAAACCTCCTCTTTTCCAAGTCTCCTCAAACAAGCGATTGGTTCGTAAGCCCAAGTGTGCCATGAAAAAAATCAACTCCTCGCGGGGACTGGGTCTCAAGACCACGCCCAAAGAGCATGAGCAAAACTGGCCTACGGAGGTAGACTGCCTCTGTACAAGCAGGAACGTCTGTCCCTCAAGACTAAACGACCGGGACGGGACCAACCGACTATTTTCGAGAAACTATTTGTAGCAGTGCTTGGATGTTGCGTGTCGTCAAAAGGTGCGCACCCAGCACAAAAGCGTGGCACGGAAGCTTATAATTTGTTGTGCGGTTCTTGCCTTAGTTGTTGGTCGGTCAGCTTCGTGCAGGTGTCGCCAGGCGCGCGAGGAGCGGCGGGTGCGATCTATGCTCTATTCATGCATACTATTTACGCATTGTTGTTGTTGTTGCTGTTGTCTTCACATTAAAACTCGTGTCAGTTGCTAATTAATCCCAAAATCTAGCAAAGACACGGTCCGTGGTCACAAAAATGCTAGAGCCATCAGAAGATCCAAAGAACACGCAGACTAGCAAGAAAAGGCAAACCTACATCCCTGCAGCACGTTTGCGTGCCCAAAAACTGAACTACCCGTCCACACACTACATTCAACTACAGCAGCATCACCCCCCTGTCCTACACTTTACCAAAATGCATATTATAGATCCAAATACGGTAACGGCAATCCAATGTGCGTGTATGCTGCCTTGGCTTGGTTGGGGGATCCACATCATGCATCGTGTATACGTAGTGCAGACTATGCATAACTGCTGTTGTTCACAGCTTTGCAGGAACGGCAGCAGCGCTGTCCCGATAGGGTTTGGAATGGTGTTACGGGGTAGAGATAAGCTACCGGGTACATTCAAATAAAACGCTTTGAAAGGGGTTGTATGCTATGCATACGAGTCCTGCAGTAGCTGGCTAGAGCCCATTCATAGAGAACAACGTACCACAAGCGTGTTCGCCCGCACGTTTACAACAACCCGGGTTCTGCACAGAAATCTACAGGAGGTTTAGCATGCAGGACACAACAGGAGAGAGCCCACAAGATACCAACAACAGCAGCAGCAGGCCGCTCACCGTTGAGGCACAAAAAAAGGGTTAGGAGCGCCGCGGCTAGCCCGGAGACGGCGGCGGAGAGGTCCGCGGTACCGCTGCATTGGTGCCATCGAACGACAAAGCGAGAACCGACGACGCTAGCCACCGTCAAGGCAGCACCCAACGCCGCCACCTCGAACAGCGCCGCGAACCCTGGGGCTGGCATCTCGGCTGCTGTCTGTCGTGCCTGTCTGTCAGGCCAGGCCTGCGTCGCATCGAGGAAGGAAGCATTTGTACCATCAGCACGGAGCGCGACGGGTATAGTCTATATTGTGCACGAAGCGGACAGCGGCCGTTAAAATATTCATGGGTGAGGAGACAGCAGAAACTACCGGCACGCAGAGAGGATCCCTCAACGGCAAGAATACCCCGGCATTACAGCAGCTACCCGGCATTCTTCGCGTTGCAACCTTTCTGAACGGAAAAAAAAGAGACGGCGGGCGGGGCAAAAAGGCCGCTACAACTACACGCACGCGTAGATACCGTGCCTCTCCCAGGCAGGCAGAGTTGGCGAGGGTAGATGGTACAAACGGCCATTCTTTTCTTGCCACGACAAAAAGTCTCCCGGAAAACTTACAGCTAATAGCAGCAGAACATCAGCGACTGAACGTCAGACAAGAAGTGGTCAGCCGGTCACGCCCTGCGGCTTCGGAAAAAAGGAGACACGCAACCCACACAAACAGACCGGGCGGACGATCATGGATGGATGCAAAGCAACATCTCCACCGCGCCCTGCTCTTCCCAACTGTTTTGTGCTGATGCAACTTGAACATCTTTGCACGTGCGTGCTGCTATACGCATCGAGATCATACCCGCCGCCAGTGCTTTCCCCGTGTTTTTCTCTCGCTCGTGTGTTGCCTGCTGCTTGGATCCACCCCTTCCGCTCACGCCTTTTGCTTTCGCCCAGCAGCGTGCGTCTCCGCGCATAGATGTACCGCCGCTCTCACGACCCTCCACCACCCAGGGCTTCAGCTCTCTCTCTCTCTCTGCTATCTCACGCGTTGGCGGCCATATCCAAAAATTCTTGCCACCTGTCGTGTATGTGGTGTGATGTTGGTGGTGGTCTGAGCTATGTACCCAACTCCCTGTAGCACAGAAAAATTGCTCCCCTGGAGGGCTGGATTCCATCCTCTGAAGACCCCAGCAAAAAAACATCTTGAAAAATAGTACTGTTCTTGAATCTTCATGTCCGGTTCAGGCCATTCGGGCGGCGTTTTTCCAGGGGGCGAGGTCTCGAGTGTCCCCGGAGAAAATCTCGAAATCCCCCAACCTATGCATACATCTAGCCTAGGAGCTCTCCGGCTCCCTGCAGCACAATCTACGGCAGCAGCAGCCCGCTGGTGAATTGAAGTCGTGGTAAGGCAGATGCAAACCGCAGTTGCGCGAGAGAATGGCTCGATTTTTTTTTTTTCCAAGCACCTTCCTGGAAATATCGGCCGAATGATTTCCTCTCCCATACCTTTCTTACCGACTACTAATATTATACATGATAATAGCAGAAGCGAGACTGCGGTGGAAAGAGGAGTCAGTTTTTCTGCCACGCTCTGCTCTCGCCTCGAGAACCTGTTCTCTCCATCTACGCCAACCATGTGGTTGTTGTTGTCGTCTTCAGATTAAACTCGTGTCAGTTAGTTGCTGTAATCCCAAAATCTAGCAAAGACGCAGTCCCTGGCCACAAAAATTAAGGAATAATAAATACACACACACACAGAAAGACTAAATATGCTAGAGTCATCCGAAGATCCAAAGAACAACACGCAACACTACTATTAGCAAGAAAAGGGTACACAAGCCCGAAGAGGTACACCTACATCCCTGTGCAGCACGTTTGCGTGCCCAAAAACTGAACTACACCCGTCCACACACTACATTCGACTACAGCAGCATCACCCATGTGGTGCAGTATTTATTTGGTACAGCTACTACAAGATCTACCTTCCTTGTGTTTTGTTACTCGTGACTGTTCTGTTGCTGTTGTATTGTGGTAGTCTGCTGCTGCTAACATGTATATACAAGTATATATATTCATACCTGCAGCAAGCTTGCACAAAAACAGGGGAGTATTAAATATTTCTTAAGTGTGTTCGTAGGCCTTAGAAGGGCACATTATATGCATGCCTGGTACCGGATAAATGTTATGATGAAAGAGCCGGGGGGGGAGAAAAGTGAGCCAATGATCGGGTGGCCTACGGGAACTCTTCTTAAATATTGCGAATAAATCTAATCTCCCCGAGGGAGACATCCATGCCAAGGCTTCTGTTCTGTGTAAAGCAATTCTTCGTCTGTCTGTCTTTGATTTATCCTTTAGTACATACGGCACGGAGTTTCGCGGCCGCGCAGCCAATGTTATCGGGGTGTACCTACCTCCTATCGTAGGACAACTCTGAAGTTCGGTTGCAGTAATTATTTCGTTCACAGACAGACAGACCAAATACATTTCGTGGGGTTTAGTATTACTGTCAGGTAAAGACAGTTTATTTGAGTGTACCTTCTTAGGGTAACCTGTGACCACGGAATCGACCGCGTCGAGTGTTGGATGAGTACGGACATTCGAAGGTAGTGGGTAGAGAGAGATCGGGACGGTTTTTAATGTGAAGACAACAACAACAACAAAGACAATTTCGTCTCTGCAAATCACAATTATTACTTTGTTTCGGTCGCCGCAAGAACCTACTACGTGGCGGCAGGTGAATGTCGGTCACATCACCGCCGCAGCATTGGCGATTCATGTTTTGTTACCTATAGGTTGCACAAAGTCAACACCTTGTGCCTCCACAGCAGTTGTTGAAGGAAGTCAGCTCCTTGTTGTTGTGTCCTCAAGCTTGCACGAAGTCTAACCCTTGCCTTGGAAAGGTTGCACGAAAAGTAGATGCGTTGTACCGTTGGGATACAACGAACGAAGGTCGGGAGACTTGTCTTGCACAACGAGCGCTTTCTTACAGCGTTTCCCACTGGCCACCTATACTATGAACTCTAACGAAGAGGGTGCCACGTGAGCGGTGCGTGACCACCAAGTTTGCTGTCGAGTCCCGCTCGTTGCCGTAGCAACAAAAAAACACAAAAACAAGGAAGACCGTCTCTTCTTGATCGCGTGTCTGCATTGCTATTATAACAACTACAACGCACATGGACGAACGAACGAACGAACGAACGAACGAACGAACTACTGGCTGGCTGGGTTATGACACACGGCACCCAGGGCAAGAATGAAAGCATTCAGCACCTAACGAGAACCGGCGCGGAAATTTTCGTTCGGTCTAACGAAAAAATACAGTCTACTCCCTTCACCAAGCAAGAGGGCGACGTACCGTAAAGGGATTCCCGGCTAGACAATACTCTTGTCACTGTAACCTAGCTGACCCGGGCAATTAAAGCCTGACGGGGTTACACTAACCTGTGAACAAGGGATCCCGAAAGAAACAAGAGCTGATGACGCGCACACGCACGCATCAACGTAACGAAAAGAAAAAAAATGCTATATAAAAAAAAAAGCACGCGGCCAGTATACCAACATTGCAACCTTGCGTGTGTCTTGCTCTGGATACTCCCGCCAACACAACTAACACAGAGTGATTTTGAATGCCGCACACCGAACTCGAACTGCCTTTTCCTAGAGCAAGGTTGCCCTGACTGGTACCTTTCCCTACTCCCCTCTCCCTGCTATTATATTATAAGTAAGTTGAATGATTGCCATTTTTTATCTTTCGTCGTCTTCTCCCTGAACAGGTTTTTGATTCTAGAAGATGAGTCTTTGGCGAAAAGTAACACATCAACACTCCATTTGATCATCGGAGTAACACCACTACACGGACACAAGAAAATCGACCCGAACGAACACCCAAGGAATCATACACCATCACAGCTTAATAGCTATGGAATCGACAAATGACAGGGGGGGGGGGGGG